GGCGGCCTATTACATCTTAGAACTTAGTTTTTTTTTAAGGGGGGGCTTTATGTATGCTTTACATAGCTAAGGTCTATTAGCTTTTTATTATATTATAAAAGCTCTTTCTTTTTAGGGATAAATTCTAGCTTCTAGAAGGTTCCCTTTAACTTCTTTTCTTTTTTACATTCTCTATAGCAGTTGTTATAAGTTGTTGCTTTCTTAATGTAATCTTTAAAAGTAGTTAGTTAGTCTATGTGCATAAACTTATCTTTTACTTTATTATTTAGTCTATTATAAAACATGCAGCACAGGGCTTTCTAGTTATTCTATCTGCAGATAGCTATCTGTTCTCTAAAGTGTGCTGCATAATTTTAAACTAGTCTGCTGCCTTATCTTATGTTGTCTAGTCTATTAGCTGCAATCCTTTTTTTATCTAAAGTCTTATAGATAGCTAATAAGGCTAATTTAAAGTTTTTAACACTACTAAATACTTCTTTAGTTTTAGAGTTAAAAGAGGCGCTGTTAGCTCTAAAGTCTATCTAATTATTAGCGTAGGGTTAAAACTAGATTATAGGGGGGCCCTCTAAGTGTAATTCTATCTAAAAGATTATTTCTGCATTAGTCTAAAATGCTTTTTTATTATATTACATATAAAGGTAGCATCTAGTAAAGAATAGTTAGAGGTCTTTTAACAATCCTTTAAAAAGCTTTAAAGGGGCTAGTTTTAAAGCTTTTTTAGCTATAACACTTACTTTATTTATTAAGATATTCTAAACTTTAGCTAGTTCTACTTATAGTTTATGTATCTAATAGGCTTAGGTGTTAGTCTTATAAAAGTTAACTAGAGGTAGGGGGTTTTATAAGCTTATAGTTTTTTAGTAGAGGTTAGCTATCTTTTACTTAAGTTTTAATAAGTTACTAACCTTGTTACTAATTTATTAGAGTTTCTTAATATTATCCTAGATAAAGTTAATCTATTCTGCTAAAACAGCTTTACTTTAGGTAGAAACTTTTATAAATCTTAATAGCACAGCGTAGGCTATATTAAAATCTAAGTTATGTTGTAAGGTTACTATACTTTTTAAAGAAGGTAGTGTTTAATGTTATAATCCTTACTTTATAAAGCACTTAGGTTAAGTAATATTCCTAGGTAAAAAGTAAGACAGATAGTAGGGGCTGTTCTAGTAGAGTGTACAGTCCTATGTACAGGCTATTAGGCTATTAGAGGGACAGAGAGTGACTAGATTGTAGTTTGCTCTATATACAGTAGTAAAAAGGCTAAAGTTAAACAGTCCTATTAGACAGGGTTAGAGGTATATATAGTGTAAGATATATAAATAGTATTACAGCTTTTTAGAAAGCTAAATGCTACTTAGTCTATATAAAAAATAAACTAAATGTTAAACACACCTTCTAAAGGTTGTTTAATGTAGGAACTATATACATGTGTAGGAGACGCTAAGGTAAGCTAGACAAGCTTACCTAAGCCTGCTAAGCAGGGCTTACTAAGCTCCCTTAGACTTGTGGGATTTGCGTCCTGTCCCCCTATTAGACAACGCATTCTTCCATGATCTCGGGTAGTCGCGCGGCTTCCGCGTCCTCCGCTTGGTCTGTAAGCGAGTCCCGCTCCAACCGTACCATATTGTGGAGCATCCTGGGTGGAGTTACGCTGGTCCAACCGTAGACCGTAACAGTTACATAGCTTATAACTTTTTTTTATTTACACTTTTTAAGTGTTTAGCTTCTCTATTCTAGGCTTATGTATTTAGTGCTAAAGGCTTAATAGTTATTTTATGTAATGCTAGCTAGTGTTTTACTTTTAGTTTTACTATTATAATCTTATTATTAGCTTTAATAACTTTTATAGTAATATTATAATAGTTCTTTAAAAAAAATTTATAAAAGCTTTAATAATTAATTTAGTAAGCTTATTATTTTTAAAGTAAAAGTTCTACTAAAGGCTAAAATACTTATTAGTAATTAGCATTTAACTCTACTTTTTTATAATACTTTATGCTTTATATGCATAGAAATTAATTAATAGTCTTTTACTAAGTTTACTATTACTAATTTATAGTGCGTAGCTAATTTATTATTATATTTTAGCTCTGCTATATAAGTTACATTAGACTATTATAATTTCTTTAATTTACACCCTCTTAGCTTACTATATAAGGTGTTAAAGTATAGCTAGTCTAAAGTGTCTAAGACACTTATGCTATAGCTTTATAAATGCTTTTTATAGACTATGTTTAGTTCTTATGTTAATTATATGTGTATAATATAAGCTCTTTTATAGTAGATAGTACTTTAACACTTATTAGCTATAAATTTTTATAAGATCTTTAATTATTATCTTATTTAAAGCTTTTAAAGTAGTTAGCTTTACTTATGTGTCCTACTAAATTCCTTTTTATTATAGTAGGCAGAATAAGACTAAGTTGTATAGCAGGTCTAGGCACAGTGCAGCATTATGTAGTATAAGACTATATACTTAACTATGTGTTTTATGCTTACTTTTTAAGCTTAGTGTAATTAATCTATAGCTTTAAATTTATATGTAAGAGTTTCTAAACTAGATAAAGTCTTCTAGTGTTAGTAAATAATAGTTATAAATTTAATTAAGATTATTTATAATATAGCATATTAAGCTTAAGTTAAAGATAAATAATTTTTTTAGTAAATATTTATTCTAGTTTAAATTAACTATAGCTAGTAATATAGCTACTTTAACTTTTAATACTTTCTAGCTTTTAAGTTAGTCTTTTTATATTTCTAGTATAAGTGTATATAAACTTTTTAGAATTAGTATCTTTAAATTATGTTTACACTACTTTTTAAGTAGGCTTTAAAGTTTTAAGTTATACTTATACTTTAATGCTATAAGCTTTTTAACTCTTTTATTTAGCATTTACTAGTCTAGTGCTTTGTTTAGATAGATATAAAAGTAGTTCTTTAGTGCATAGATGTGTCTACATGTAGAATATTTAGTGCCTTTTATTTTAGTAAGTTTTTAGCTTAAAGATAACTTCTTATTATCTTTTTAATAACATTAATGTTAAGGTTTACTTTATTTTCTTAACATTATAACTTCTACACTACAGGCGTTTTTATTTATGCCTTAGGTAGTCTTTCTACTTTTAGTAAAGTATAATAAGTTATTTATTATAAAAGTAGCTTTATGCTTTTTTATATGTATTAGATAATTTAATATTATATGTTCTTAAAAGCGCTTTATTATTTTTTTTTAATTTATATTTAGTGTAAACTATCTACTTTTCTAAAAGGTTATAGACTAATAAGGGGCAACATTATTTATAGTAGTTAGAAAGTTCTTTGTAACAGCATTAAACTATGTTGTTTCTAGAACATTTTATGTCTCTGCTTCTATAGCAGCGTAATTATACTCTACTAGCTACAGGTCCTATATGCTTATGTTTCTTAGCAGCTTTAGAGATGCATTATATTAGTTACATACATATTCTTATTTAAATTAGTTGTTAACGCCTACTATAGCTTTAAAGTTTATAATCTACTATCTAAGTAGTTAATCTAGGGAACAGCATGTACACTGCAGATGCAGGCTAACTATTAACTAGATAAAGACAATAATCTGTTAAAAGCTTAATTACTCTTTTTTATAATTATGTCTGTTACTTTTGTACTTGTTAGCCTTAATCTTATAGTATTTAATAGCTTCTTTAAAGGCTCTAACACTGCTTATTAATAGCTTGTTTATGTGCGTAGGCGTTTTAACATTAGAGGCTGGTGAAAACTTAGCTATTAGCAGCATCTCTAGAGCTCTTAGTTTGGAGATCATTTAGATAGTCAACTTAGGATCCACTTGCGGCCAGATGCTGTGCGCTACACATCTCAATTGCAGCTGCATCATCCAGGCTCTGTAGTCGGTGTGGTCTCGAAGGACGACTGTCGCGTCTCGAGGAGGCTGGGTGGCCATTTTGTATTGATGGAGGCACTAAGACTCTTAATTGTCAGATTAAAGCACTGTTTCTAGGCTTCCTAAGATAAATAATAGGTTTAGATATAATGTATAGAATGATTAATTAATTTTTATTAATTATGTTAATTTATTAATCCTTTTTCTGCTCTACTTGTGTTGCTCGGCTTTTGTTTTTCTGATCTGAGTCCCTCGCGCACTAGCCCTATGCGCGACCAGCTTGCAACATGCTGCAAAATGCTGCAAAATGCTGCAAAATGCTGCAAAATGCTGCAATTTGCAGCAACATACTATTCGAGCTTATTGCTCGTACTATGTAGCCGCTTTCGTCAAACGTTCCTCCTGTCTTGACAGTAGGTGCGCATATCTGACACTAAGACAGGCTCTATTAGAGAGCCTGCAAAATTTTAGGAGATCTAGGCTGCTAGTTGTTAAGCTGGATAGTAGGCTAGGGACATCGCGATTGCTTTTATGTCTGCAGCTTAACTAGCTGTTGTCTAAGGACTCTAAGGACTCTAAGGATCTAGGAGCTGTCTTAGACTAGCTCTATTAGGGAGCCTGCAAAATTTTAGGAGATCTAGGCCGCTAGTTGTTAAGCTAGATAGTAGGCTAGGGACATCGCGATTGCTCTTATGTCTGCAGCTTAACTAGCTGTTGTCTAAGAACTCTGAGGACTCTGAGGACTCTAAGGATCTAGGAGCTGTCTTAGACTAGCTCTGTTAGGGATCCTGCAAAATCCTAGGGAATTTAGTCTACTAGTTGTTAAGTTCTAGTTAGGAGGGTGATACTATAAATCTAAAATTAGGGTATAAATAGGTTAAAGTTCTGCGCGCGTTTAGATTTTTCTCTACTAATAATAGTTAGAATTTAGTAAAAAATATACTATTTTATAGCTACAGCTTGTCTTTACATTCTATTAAATTCTAAGCCTATTTAGACATATAGTAGTAGAGATATTGTAAATCTAATTCTATTGTAATGCTCTTGAAATAGGCCTATTTATAGAAAAAATCACAAAAGTCCCTTAGACAGCTGAGGAGAGAAATGCTACCGACAGGGGTCAGAAACTGCTAACCCCCAGGCCATACTCTATTTGGAGTAGCAATATGCATGGTTTGTGCGTCCTCAGTTCTCTCCTCACGTCTGAGCTAGCTGAGATAACAAATATGCAGGGTCGACAGGCGGCTACATAGCCACCAGTTCTTGCATCCCCATGTATTGTTATACGCAGATTGTTGGAGGATACATGAGCGGATATTCCTAGGTACAAAGCATCTGCTGCTACTCGAAGCGCTCGCATATAAAAGACCCTTCATGTCTAGACAATGTCTCGCTCATCAGACACCCTACAATCGACTACTCAGCATTCAATCGACCCCAATCATCAGCGCCTCAACGCTTTTTTAATACTTTTTTTTTTTAAAAAAATATTACTCTTTGCTTCCACCCCATCTCATCACCTTGCCTAGGATCAGCAGCCATGTCTTTAATCGGTACAGTTTGGAACAAGGTGCTCAGCAAATACATCAATGTCTATTTAGCCGAAGGCGGCCCGGGCTTCAGGCGCCTTCCCGAAGCAATCGATCAAGCAGCAAAAGACGCTGCATTAGCTAGACTTAAGGCGGCCTTTGAGGCCGGCAAGCTCTTCAACGACACCGACATGGGGAAAATGGAACAGGTCACCATCACGTACGTACTAATCGAGTTTGGGTCCGAGTTTGTTCTTTGAGTTTCCAGTCGTTGATCTAAGACAGGAACATGATCCACCCCAGTCCCGGCGATCCTAACAACCATGACTCTGTCCAAGGTGAAACCGCTACTGGCGGTTGGGTCAAGGGCGGCCATGTGACTAAGGATGGGTCGAAGCAAACTGTAAGGAGCAGCTTACTTCTATGTGTTACTACTAGCTAATTCTATTGAATAGCAAGCTTCCTAAGCGGCTAGTGGTTTTTAGCCCCCATAGGCGGCTAGTGGTTTTTAGCCCCCATAGACTGCTAGCAATACTTGTCCTCGGCAGCAATACAAACTATTCTCCAGCCAAGCAAGTGTCTACTTGTTAGTTCCAAAGGACTATGCTATGCCTCTAGACCTTCTGCTTCAAAAGCGCGAAGCTCTTTTGATGCTAGCGCCTGTGCAGCTGAAGGCCTTTTGTCTGGATCAACGACGAACAGATATTTCATAAAACCCTTTAATGCCTCCGGCATGTCCATACTCTGCATCTCCTCCTCAAATGATGACACTTTCACAACCTGCTCGCCCTTATCAACCCACTCGGCAAGAAGTCTGCCCAGTTTGAAATCCTTCTTAATGGCATCGTTGTCCGCAAGCGAACCGAGATCGCCCCCAAAGAGCAGCATAAGCTTTGCGATACACCAACCCTCAACCGGGACATTGCAGTCCATATCGGAGAAGCCGAAAAGGTCGGAATTAAACAGTTCAACCACGGTCACGGCGAGTGCCCAGACATCGGCGCGATGAGTGCAGGCGAAGCCTCGGTAAATTTCCGGGGCACGTGTAGCATACGGTTGAGCAAACTTGAGACTACCTTCCGGACACGCTGAAGTACGTCAGCATCATATCACAGCCGGGGAAGCGGTGCTTACCGAGCCCTAAATCTGCTATTTTAACAATTGGGTTACCTGTGTCAATGTTGGAGAGTAGGACGTTTGCAGACTTGACATCTAGATTGATTAGTGAAGATTCGGCCTTCAAAAAGGTACTCTACCTATGTAAGCAAGTCCCTCCTGCTTAAATGCGTCAAGTGCAGAAAGGCTTGCACGAATAAAGGCTTTAAGAAGGGTATAATTATTTCGGACACTCTCAGGCCGTAGTTCTGCTAGAGTGTGGTCCATCCACTCGAGAACTAAGCAGGCGCTCCCGCAACTAGTGAGATCCCTAGGGTCTCCCACGACGTCGTATAAGGCTCGGATACATGGAGATGATGCAATAGTAGGGCTTTGGTAGGTGTTGTACTCTCGCTCCAAGGATTTCCTAGTATCCTCGTTGCCAGGCGTGGCGGTTTTGATGAGAACCCTGATCTGAGAATTAGCTCTCGTACTCACAGCAGTTCAATGAGCAGTGACAGACCATTCGGATGCAATATTGGCTTTGTTTCCTGGTAATACTTTCGCCTTGAAGACTGTAGAATCATGCCTGTCGTGCTCAAGGCGCTTGCTCAGGAGGTAACGGCCCTTGCATCCAAAAAGCGTTCGTCCGACCTCCATAGCCGGCGCGTGTAGGAGAGAAAAATAGCAGATAGGAAACGAGAGTGAGGCAAAGGTGAGCCGTTGCAAGCTAGCTAAAGGACGACGAGATATAAAAGCATGCATACTAACAAGTTACAAGCAGGTGAGCGAGTACCTGAGCAACACTGAGCAGAATTGAGCCGAAGCTGAGCCGGGCCTAGGCCCAGTGCTGGCGGGAATCGGTCCGAATCGATTATCCGGAATCACGTGGCGCTATCCTGGATCTGGATCGGATCCATGAATCGATCTAGCGCTAAGGCTAAATAGGCAACTATTCTAAACAATTAGTCTTTTACTTAATTTTTTGTGCTATTATACTCTTAATAGGTTGTACAACAAACATTTAATAAAAATTTAGCTTAAGACAATAGAATTCTATTTATAATAGAAGCAGTTAATAGCTTAAAATCTAAATAATAAAGAAAAAAATGTATATTAAGCCCTACCTTATATAATAAGCATTATAGAAAGTATTTTCTTTTTATTTTATTATATAAAAACATAGACATTGCAATTTAGAACACTAAAAAAAACAATAAAAATAGCTAAAAGCAGCATAGCACTAATAGCTGCAAAAGATGCATCTAGGTTTTTCCTACTACTTCTAACCTAAACGTACAAGCAGCTTTAGAAGTTGTAGCGCATACTGTAAGTTACTCCCCCTATTATATAATAAGCTAATAATTTTAGATCTAGCAGAAACAGGTTCTCTCTGCACCCTGCAATAATGTTAAATACTATAGCAGCACTTTTTATGCCTTCTAATTAAATACCTACTGCCTGTTATATGTTAATGTAGTGTTAATTTAAACTTATAGTACTATTAACATAGAACCTTACTGTATGCCTTCTATTTTACATGTTATACAACAACTAACTTGTATAGTAGAGTGTGCTAGCTATTTTTACTATAGTTTATTTTTAGAGTGTGTTTTGCTCTTATCTAAGTAGGTAGCTGCTTGCGCTAATTGCAAATTTAAAGATTAAGCTGCCTGTTGCAGTTACTATAATAGCTCTTAACCTAATTAGTATTGTCTAACACCTAATAATAGTATAGGTCTCCTAGCAACTTTGTTTTCTAGTGTAAACAACATTGTTATAGATTACCTATATAAGATTAAGGAGCTAAAGAGTAATAATAAAAATAGGCGCTAGAATATTATATAATAAATTACTTAGAATTAATAGTTTTTTTATAAGTAAAGAATAAGATAGGAAATAAAAATCTTTACTCTTTTAAATAGTCTACTTATTTTTAACTTAACTAGTAATTTAAAGATTTAATTACTTTAATAATATTAGAATTTAATAATGCTTAAGTCTAAGAGATTATATAATGTGCTCTAGAGAAGATATGTTCTAGTTTATTACTTATAAGTAGTATAAAGTAGATCTTAAGTGTAAGATAAGTAAGAAGAGGCTACTAAGATTATTATACATTATTTTGCTACTATTTTAACATATTTTTAACCCCCTTTATTGCTAGCTTTTCTGTATACTCTGCCTACTTATCTAGATTCTCTACTAAAGCCTAATTACTAAGAATTTACTTAGTTATAGCTTTAATTAAATAATTCTAAACTTTATAAATAATTTATGCTGTTATATAATAAGTAGCCTGTTGTCTTCTTTACTCTTGCGCTTTACTTTAAGAAGGTGTTAATAATAAATCTTAATATTTAGATTAAAAATTAAGCTAGAATTATTTTAGCTAAGCTTTCTATACTTTTTAGTCTTTAGTAAAGAACTTTAAGGCAAGCATTACCTTATTAGCCTAGTTTATATAATAATAAGAATGCAAAACTGTTGCAATTTAGTAGAAAAGATGCTTTTAAAGTAAGTCCTACTATTTTTATTATGCTATAAGTGCCTAAGTAGCTTATATAACATAATCTTTATTAAATTATATATCTCCTTTTTTATGTTTTGCTAGGAAAGCTATTATGTAAGTCTGTAAAATCTATAGAGAAGGAAGAGCCTGTCTAAGGCATTTTGCATCTTTTTTATTTTAGAGGATTACATTCTTAAAAATCTATAAGAATGTTTTTATTATATAAAGCATTTCTTAATCCTTTATTTCTAAAGTATTATGTTTAAGATTAGGTTAGTTTTTAACATAAAAATCTACATACATTTTAAGCTTAATTACTATATTAATTATGTAATACTAGCTATTCTATCTTGTATAATTGTCTAAGGGTATTATCTGTCTAGCTTGCAAGATAAACTTATTTATACAAAGCCCTAAACTATAAATATAGACTATAATGTTGTAAAGTTTACTAAGGGGACTAATAGCTCTAATTATATCTTATTATATAGAATTAAGAGGCAATTTATTTACCTTTTTAAAGTCTGTAGCTTTAAGATCTTTAAAATAACTTTTATATAAACTTAAAAATAAAAATGCTTACATAATAAGATTAATAATATAACTAAGATAGTAAACTTTTTTATTCTTAGAATCTTAATACAGATTAAGTTTATTAGAATACTACTTGCTAATTATATAATAAAGAGTGTTATTAGTGCTAGCATTATCTCTAATAACTGCTTCTAGATTTCTAGTAATCTTGTACTCCTTAAGTACTGTATAAAGTATAGAGAACTGTTCTTTACTAGAATAGCCTAAAACTAGTTATAAAGTAAGAAGGTGTTTAGTAACAGTATTATCTAAGCTTTATATAAAGTGTCTAGTAATTATAATAAATAGGATTTAGTTTAGAGAGGTCTAGAGATTAAGCATAACATTAATCTTTAAAGTTGCTGTCTAAATCTTGCGCTAAAGAATAAGCTTCTTTTTATACTAATAGCTTTAGATTACTATATAAATAGTAAAGTGTAAAACTAGAATAGCCTCTCTAGCAACAGAATTTAATGCTTATATAAAAGCCTAAAAGGATAATAATTTAATAACTAAGAGAGTAAGACACTGTTAAATAATTAGTTATATAAAAGCCTTTTAAATAATATCTTTATCTAGATAGGCTCTAAACGCGGCATTTTATATATCTCCTTTTATATAAGGTTCTGCGTAGTTTTATAGCTCTTAGAGTTTAATAGCACCTGCTTGTTATATAAAAGAAAAAGTACCCTTTGCTAAAACTTAGTAGTTAGATTTTAAGTGCCTTTAAAAGTTTATAATAACCTTTAAAGTGTAGTTATAATTATAAAAATTGCAGTATTAGAGAAGCTAGCTGTTTTGTTTAGTAGGTTTATTAGACATTAGTAGTTGTACAAAGTTTCTAATGTTACTGCCTTTATTTTTAGGCACTAGAGTTAAGCTTAATTTATAGGATTCTATTATATAAGACTTTTAAAGTTGTTTTGTTAATAGGGAAGCAAATTTTTAGCTAAGACTATGAATTAATTTAAGGATCTAATCCAGATTCAGGATAGCGTGGATTCGGATCGATCCACGAATCGGATCGATCTATCGCCAGCACTGCCTAGGCCGGCCTGAGCCACAGGGCGCAGGGTCACGTGAGCAAAGTAGGACGGGCGGCGTACGGATTGGGGTGGTGCAACATTTAAATGACGATAGCTATCTTGTGGGTGAGCCTTGGAGCCTATTCAGCCTGTGTGGCTTTTTGCTTGGCGGTGCCACAGTACTAGGCAACCACCCCATTGACATTGACCCCGCTCCTTACCTAGGATCTCATGCTACCGCAGTCGAAAGGATGCTGTGCGATACTCTGGTCTCAAAACTACCTGTGAACTTTGAACAGGAATATGTGGTTTACGCTACATTCTAGCTGATCGTAAAGGTCAAGGGTTTCAAGATTCAAACCCCTCTGAGCTGGACCATGTTCCCTACTTCTCCATCTATGAAGCCTTTGGAAGAAGAAGGAGATTCGAAGCGCATAAGAGTTCTTTCAAAGCAGATCGACCTTGAAGGAAGGGCATCCATATACTTTCAGCAGCTCTTCAACGATGTTGGTAAGCAACCACCCCTACTAGGAATTAAAGAATAGGTACTTAACAGGGATATGGTTCAGATCGGTGGACATACTTGTCATGGGCAGGGCAGTTCCCGGCCAGGCGAACAGTATCATGCGATGACTTTTCTACATACCGCCGCGTGATGAAGGAGCTCAGTAATTACCATATTGCTCATCCGAGTAAAGAGAGTGGGCGTCGTCCTCGACAAATTAAATACTTGTGTCAAGATCCTACCAAGGCTCGTACGCAGACTTTCCAACCCAGCACACTCCGAGGCATTCTCTCCAAACGAATATTAGAGGTAGCCCAACCACGCATTAGTAAAGTTAGATCGCAACACACGCCCATTGAGGAATGCAAAAATCTTGAGCCAATCCCAGCCTGCATCCTCGATATTCCACTACCTTCAGGGCAAGTCGAGAAATTGGAAGAGTTATTTCCAGTGGTCTCAGGGTACAAGACTGTACGATTGTATCGTGGACTATGCATCAGCCCTTGCCTTTCATGTCGAGAACCAAAATTCGAAATTCTGGAGAATGACATCTGTGGCCTCTTTCGTAACCTTGGAGAGTTCCCATTGCTGGATCCTTACGGTGAAGACGCTATGTCACTTGGATTAACATGCTCATCGTGTCTTTTTAGGTCGCATTTAAAAGGCCTCTCCGAGAACTGGTGGCGTAAGCTCGATAATGTATGCTGGGGCGGAGACTCTCGATGTACTTTCGGTTGCTGTTCGGATTATGTTAGCAATAACGGACCGCACTGGTACGTTTCGCAATTTCGCTCCGTAGAGAAAGAAGATAAGATATTCTCTATTGACCTGTAAGTTTCTTCGCTGAATTACACGAGGTGCGTCCAGCTGATTGTCAGTTTTCGACGCGTACTTAATTACCGACACGCCCTCCAACGACTTCGACCCCAGCCGGAATTGTGGCAGATGGAGACCGCAAGAGAGCTTTGGAGCCATCTAATTAAAGGAGGTTTCATGTACGACTTCATAGACAAGCTAACTGAAGAAGAGGGGGAAGGTTTTGGACCCGAGTCTGAACTATCTCTTGTTTGGGGAAGAATAGACCACCAAGGAGGATTCAGTTCCCGGCCTGACAGACACAGAGTCCCGATCTTCTCGAATCTTCTCAAACGCAAAACCACTCCAAAGGAGTGCATTGTGTGTGCTGAGGAGAAGTTTGAGGTCGCCTGTGGTCCATGGGAAGAATGGAGACATGTTCACGCGCGTTTTAGTGGATCTTGGACATGGACGGTGCTAGAATATCCAATCCCTCAAAACCAGCGATGTTCACATTCCCTCGACGTTTGTCGGATCTGTGTTGCGAAACACATTGCCGTCTGCCTCGATAGCGGTAATTTTGAGCGTATTTCTTGCCCGCAGTGTGACCGCATATTCACCTATGACGAGATCAAAGGTCTGTGCAATGAAGAGGATTTTGAGAGGTACCTAGTCTGTTTCGCTATCACCCACTCCTATTTACTTATTCTTCGATCTAGATATGACAAAATCATTCTCCGCACTATCCTCTCCAAAGACCCGAACTTCCGCTGGTGTCTTTCTCCGGCGTGCGAACGTGGCCAGATCTACGAAAACATCGATCCTACACTCCCATGCGTGCAGTGCAGTACCTGCGAGTTCAAAATGTGCTTTCACCATGCGCTGCCATGGCATGTTGGTCTAACATGCTCTGAGGTCGACAGCGATCCAAAATATGCGGAAACACAAACATTAATCCAAGAGAGTACCAAGGCATGCCCGCAATGCAGGATTCGAATTGAGAAGGGTGCTGGCTGCTTCCACATGACCTGTAAGTATACATTTTCCAAAATTCGAAGATGAAGGGACTAAACTGCTTTAGGCTCCTCCTGTCACCATGAATTTTGCTGGGAGTGTCTGGTGTCTTGGAAAGCCGTCACGACCAGCAAGAATAACCATGCCGAGGGTTGTTACTTTCGGAGCGGCACGTGGTCTCCAACGCAAATAACTGGCACAAATCTGAACACAGCATTACAGGAGTACAACGTCTAAGAATAACAACCTTCCCTAGGTCTCTAGCCTTTATGGATAGAGTGGCCTTACGGGAAGGCCTTCTGATGTCCACTGGCGCCCAGGCTGTCTCCTGTGCTGCAGCCACTGCATGCGTGAATCATCCTCTCTCGGCGCTGACGGACATTGAGTATCTCCCGGCAGTGTGGAAAACCACTGAACCCCTATTCAACGCATCTTGGATATCTTTAGCAAAGAAGTCGTTGATGGAAAGGGTCAATGTGAGGGTAGTAGCTCCTTTCTTACCTTACAACTGTGTTGAACCTTCGCCCCTCCTGTATCTATCGTGATTCTTATCTCTTTTGTCCTTTATGCTATTAACGTACCCTGCAGTTTCGTCCGAATGGGGTGTCTCAAGTGGGTTTTCTCCCAAACTACTACTCCCTCTTTGTGGCCGCTGCCTTCCCACTTAACAATATCCTCAGCTGCTAGAGCTTTAGTCGGAATGTGTTTATCTACTGATTCAAGCTTCTCAACTCGCATTGTAGGGCGGGTACCCTTGCTCATATGACATTCCTTGTTCCAGATCTTGGAAATCATCGTCTACTCCTGTCCTACTCGAGTGTCTGGTCGAAAACTCATGTCCTGTCTAGTTGTTTCCTGCAGCCTAACACTCGCTATGATAACAGATTTAGAAGAGGTCCCATAGTGTGAAATAAACCCTCTAGTCTCCCATTCAGCCCTCTATCGCCTCCAAATACCTCCCTGAAAATATCCTTGATCTTGAAGTTCTCTGGATCTAGATCATGCTCTGGCACAGCCTCCACAGGTGGAGAATCCTGTGTATCGGGATTTCCAACGTCCCCTGGGTTCAATCCGGCCATGGACACACTACTATTACCGAAAGAAGTCCCCGGCTCGCCTGATTAGTGGATTTGCAATGGCTTTCTACTTCAAATATATTCCAGTCTTCTGTGAACGATGACAGTGGACATACTTGAGCAGATGTTGCGGCCTAGCATGTACTATAAGTGTCATGAGAAGTTTGTAGAACGTGAGATGTCTGAACCTGACGCCTGCTCTCTCGATACCGCCACCATCCTCAACATCGGAGCATGTCTCCCAGGGAAGTAAGTTAATTTATCATCAAACATTCGCTTACGGCACCATTTGAAAATAGCTAATAGGAACGGCTGAGAGATCGTTGCAAATATAATGCTTCTATGGTATGCCGAATTGACAGACCCAATGCCTTGCACTCCTCCAACGAGTGCAATCACTACATTTGGGAGCGGCACTGCGGACAAGAGACGGTTGACAAGAAATCGTTCAAAGCGGCCTCTGTACTCAGGTTCCGTGATGAATACGTACTGAAGAAGGTTTTTTTGAACCAAACATCGATACCGACATAAAATACCGTGGTGGACAGGACGATTTCCGGTAGTTGAGCTAGTGATGCAAGAGACTAAGTGGGTAGTGTCTATAATGTCTATTGTGAAATGACATTTAAATACAGAAAGTAGCAATCTACCGAAGTGATTGTCTACGGAAATAAGCTGATTGTGGATAAGGTAGGTCCCACAAACTGACAGCGTGACTATTCACTACACTCATCATCGCGAAATAATAGTCCCCCTAAAACTAGAATTGAAGATACAATTTGAATGACCTGCATCTGACCTTGATTAGCCTCGAACAATGTACGGCCCAGCGCCTTCGTGACCATATCCATAATGTTGTCGCCTAAACTAATCTCGTAAGTAACAACATCCCCCTAAAGTAGAGTTTCTTAGCAATATCGGAATAAGTTTTAAACCGTAGTGAGTTATTTCTATTTGTTAGGTTTAAACTTAACTGGACTAGCTTCTGTGGAACTAGAGCTTGGTTTAGCGAAAGGAAAAGTCTAGGCAGATTGATGTGTTTAGAATTCAAACAAACCGCCACTGCCTTTCCAAGAGTACAAGGATTTAAATACAAAGGCGTCTAGTAATATGGCAGCATCAATTGTGCTTCTGGCTTCTAGATTTCTCAATGGGACTACTAAAGGGCCTTGAAGCCAATAGAAACATGGAGATCCCAGCGCAAATATGCACCAGACTTCATATCTTCAATCGCCTTCTGCCTGTATTCACCAACTTCCTGCTCAGTCCAGTAGCCTTCAGTTTTTGTGCTCGACAAATTCTTCAGGCCGCCAAACACTGCTCCAAGTCCGATTTCCGTGAAGTCTGACCTCTGCTCGGGAAGTCGATCGGTGCTGAGGACATCTTCTTCCACGTTTTGCAAACCAGCCTCCGTAAACATATTCATCCAGTTGGGGAAGTTATAGCCAAACCGCTCTTTCAGAGTCCCGTTAAGCTTGAGTTGGCCAAGAGTGAGAAAGTGTCCGCCAGAAGAAGTCGAACTACTACCACGGAATCCACGGGCCACGAAAAAGTCGCCTTCAATCCATTGAATGGCACCACCAGGCTTCAACAGGGTAAGGACATTGCGCAGAGTCGATTCCCAAACCCCTTCGCCCATTGAAATAATGATCAGTCGGATATTGACAAGGTCGTAGGTGCCGACCAGATTTTCTGGATACGACTTTTTGAAGTCACTCTCAGAATTGAGCGACACATTTGGGGGAAGGGTGTCGGTAGACTGGAATTGTGCACTGGATATATCGTAGCCATCAAATTGATATGTTGAGGGAGAGGATTTGGCCATTTCTGTCATCCATATGCCAGTGCCACACCCAACATCCGCAATGCGCGCATTCCCAGGAAGGATCCGAGCGATGGAGGGGTGAAGCAGGTATCCGATGCTCCTGCATTATGTAAACAAACTATCCTTTCCCCTTGAAGAACACAACGACCTACTTCGTCCAAACCTCGTGCTGCCTCGCAAGTCGTTGCTGCTCTGTCGGGTTACGCGACAACCAGTAGGGTTCTTCCTCAGGCATGCTTGCGATAATGAATCTCCTGTGTCCGTCTAAACGACGTGGTTGTCTTAAAAGGTACTTTTGCAAGGGCTCTGATTCAGAGAACGTGCGGTTACCTGTGGCTGAATCGCGGATGCAGTGCCACGTCAATTAGCTCCGGCATTTACCAATCACCGGTTCCGTGACCTGCAGGTCGATGCCTTGAGGAGGAAAGACGGCCGGTACAAGTGGAAGGTCAGGGGTCTCAAAAGGCCAGCCAGAAACTCGACACCCAACACCTGGCTGGGCCCTCAAATAACCATTTCTAGCCGGTTGGCCATTCCGCAGAGAGACGTTCACTAATCGATAGCTTCATTGTGAATTCGGTATGTGTGGCTCGGCACGAGCACGTGTCTGGCGTTGAAGTGATGTCATGAAGCTCGCGCAACCCGAAGAGTGAGTCGATGAAAGAATACTCCGCTCATGGCCCAACCTCGGTGAGTTCTGGGCGGGGGATGGGAGGAGTAAGAGAAAGTACGGCCGACTGAGTTTTGTGTGAGAACGTGGAGATTATCTATAAAACTTACGTTCACAAGTCTCTCAATTGCTTTCAGGATGATGAGTAAAGGACGGGAATAAATATTGATTTCGATGAATTGAACATACATTTCAATAAGGAACCTTAAGGTCGGAACCTCAGCCCAATGCTGTTCCTAGCATCACCTGTCATGCCATCCTCGAATCGCCCAAAATCGGAAATAGAGTAATAGAAACAGCAACCCTTACTATTATATAAATGATAAATAGTTTTGGTGTTGCCCGTCTCTGTTATGCCTTTCTATGCCGAAAAAACTATGGCATCTTCCAACTATCAACAAAATTGCTTGCCATCAAACCTTCTAAGGTTTCCTAGTAAGCGTCGCGGATAATAGGAACCTAGTGGGAGCTAAGCCACCCTCGCAAATTAATTAGTCTTTTTTTCTGTTAAATTTTGATACCGCTGCCCCTGTAAGCAATGCAGAAGTCTTCCCAACAGAGCAAAGTTTCGGATTCAGGTCACGGTTACAGCTGTCTTTTGCAGGCAGGATTTCCTCTCCCAAACGTCAATCTACATCTTCAACAGGGAGAACAAGCCGTCATAGAGTTTTCTTTGTCAGACGGAGCACTAGTGGCTTCCTCACTTGAGGATTTAACTGGATTTGTCATGATTGGAATGGTCAACTCGCGGTGCTTACACCAAATCTGATACGGGCTATCTGGTTACTATTGTATTTATCTTCTCCACAAATGAACCCTCTAGGTTCAGATCAAGCCTCAAGTTCGCCCAGGAAATGGGCACCGCGGCCTAGGACCGCCTAGCCAGTCCACACCGGGGGGCCAGGAGGAGTGTAAGAAGTAGCGCCCTATCAGCACGGTCAGCTAAATTCCCTCGAATGACATCTTATTTTTCATCCTAATAGCAAACTTACACTATAGATATTGACCTTAATCCCCGGATCTGTTGCCTTGTACGCTCCCGGGAACGAAACCAACGGGGAAGGTGATCCACTCCCACCACCCGTAATCTTTACCTGGGCGCATGATATATAGAACTGAGCCCCGTTCGTGTTGCTAGCCTGATGGAGCGCAATATGCTCGACTCTCAGCAAATAATCACCAGAAGGAAGGGATTTTGGAATCGTCACGCTGACGGAGCCCTTGTCTATGTGATCATGTTAGCACTCGTTTTTCTCTACACTCTAAATAGCTTGGAGGAAGGAGGAAGTGGTAAACAACGTACTCAAAGACCCCCAACTCAACTGCCCCCCGGAACTCGTCGCCTTCTCAGCGTATATTTTGAACCAAACATTACCCGCACCATCCCACGAAGCGGCAGTCTGGCCATCTGGCACCTTCGCCATGTAGAATTGGAGGGGCCCTGGATGGAAGATGTTCGGCGAAGCTTTGAATCCGACGCTAGCGCCTGCGGCTACGCTCATTGTCTGCGCGCTCTGGAGAAACGCAATTCGTATTAGTAAGTTCTCTATTCGAGAGGCGAAGGCCTTGGTAGAGTTCGTATCAAGTCCATACCTTTGCCCCCGACGTGTAGCATCGGATTTGCTCGGATGAGACATCGCTAAGACCCGCGTTGCTTTGGGCGTTGACGGTTGTGCGAACGTATTGCCAATCGGTCGAACCGGTAAGAGCAGGGAAGGTGTCTGTCGAGTGTCAGATAATCACCACCGCAGCGAGAAAATTCAAATTCGTACAATGTCGTGGCTGGAGTGCTGCAGCGTGGACAACCTCCGCCGCCAACGAGAAAGCAAGGGCAGTTGAAACCTTCATATTCCTGTATCTTAATAAAGGTTTCAAAACAACATAAACAGAGCACAGCTCAAGCCGTCCATTAAATACAAAGTCTGCATCTCCCTGGCAAGATTCGTGGTGGTTGTTGGGGTGTGTGCGGATAGATTGAAGTTGTAGAGTGCGATTAACCGGAGGCGTTTCAATTTGCCTGAAATGGAAATTTGAGATTAATCTTCATTATTTTTCGAGAGTTTCCCAGCATGCGGGGCCCCGCAGTCGGCACTTGCGGGACCGGCTTGGGCTTGCAGATGGCCTGGTGTTGTGTTACCCAGCAGAAACGGGAGTGTTGTTTAGGTTGTGTTGTGAGCGAGGAAGACGATGAATGGAGGGACTCGTAGATTGGAGAATGAGAAAAAAGACATAGCTGAATACTTCTCGAGCAGTACTATAATAATTAAGAGTGTTTTCGAAGCTTTTCCTCGGGATCGAGGCCCTATGCTGTGAGTACAGGAGTCAAACGAGGACAAAGACAGGATTCTGAGCAACATAATTAAATAGAGAGACAGGGACCCAATCACGAACTTTCCACTGCAACCATAATAACACCATACATCCAAGCCGTGAAAACCAGGAAGGCCAAAACATGATGGGTAACAATCTTTTAATTGATCTAGCCACACTATACCTCGCGAACTGATCCCTTCATAGATTTAGGTCCAGCACACTCACGACGGCCTCTCTGAGGCTGCGATCGGCGTTTCTGGTTTGACATGCACAGTCTTCGGCTTGCTTAGGCTGTCTCTTCCCGAACTTTCTCCTCTATCCCGAGCGCGTAGTTCGATCTGGTCTGCAAGGTGGGCAGCCTGAGCTCTTGCCACAGCACGTGCATGTCTTCTGCTACGACGGATGATGAGGATCACCTCGAGCCCGATGAGGAGGAAGAGGCCAGATAAACCCCCAGCAACACCTCCTGCGACGGCCGCAGCGTGGTGGTAGTAACGTTTAGGTTTGGGACCTGGGCTCGAAGCTGAACTTGGAGCGGGCAAGGGTGACGGGCTGGGTGACGGGGAATGCTCGCAATCGATCATCCACATGGTCCAGGACGAGTCGTAGCATATATCGGGCTCAGCGATCGTTTTCCTAGGAAAATATCTATTGCAGTGTGTTCCATTAGGAAATAAGAGAACTAGCAATATTAGCAGAATCCTTTAAATTAAATGGCGGCTCATACAGTGGCAAGAGTCAAAATCAGACACTTGAAAACTGCCCCAGCCTCCCTTATCGCTGGAGTCGAAACAGACTCCCGTCGGGAGGTTGACCACGCCATGTGTGTACGGATTTGTACAATGACTATCCGCATAACCTGTTATTTTAAAGGCGCCTGTAGTTGCAATGAGAGGAACAAGACATAGTAGCTTGGCGGGTAGGAGAGGCCTCATGAACATCTTGCTCCTGAATGGGTTGCTGCGTGCAAGATGAATGCTGCGACTAGTATCAATGGAAGGAAAACTTCTGCAAACGCTACAGAGCCCGTGGATGCTTCAAATTACAACTTGTCATCTACTTTGAGGGAAGTTGATGTTGAGATACCACTAGTGGTGATGTACGTACCAACGGGCACTGGGACGCCTTGCTGTGCTGGAAGATCATGTCAAAAGGGGGGGTTGGGGGGTTTGATTGAGAGGGGTCTAGAATCTATGGTTTGAAGGTGGGTCCGGTACACGTGACGTTTAAACCAACTGAGAAAACCCAATGTGCATTCCGTATGGTCCACGAATACTGCCCATACGCGGTGGAGATTCGAATGACCATGTGTGAAATGCAAGATGTGTGATAGTTTATTGAACATTGAGAGAGGACCAGGTTGAAATGATCTGTATGATATCAAGGCAGTCTCTTCCAAAGTTGTCTTGAAATGCTAATCCAAACACTGCGGTGCCCTAGTATTCCTCGTGGGGCTATGGGCTGCGCCGGTCCGGGATCAGTTCCACATCCTTCGCATTGTAGGAGCGTTATTGATTCGTGTCACCGAACCATAACCACATCGACTCCGTGGGGCCTCTTCCTTGCGCGGTCCGCACCGTTACATGCAGAGCCGGACACGAAAGTCGCTTCACGTGTTCCCCATCTTGCGCTTTCGGAAATTTGAATGAACAAGCGAAGGAGTACGAGCACTGGGTCGGGCCGTTCCTGTCAAAGACTCTGACTTCACGTCTTCATCTCAGTCTCAAAAGCCCTAATTTCATTACTCAGCTCCAGCACCTCGTTTTGGGCCATGATTTGTGCGCTAGCTTCTAGATCATGAACGACATTCTCCAGACCTCGGACGAGGGCCTCAATCTCGGCACGCTGTGCCGTGATGGTGGATAGTAATTCTGTGTTCGATGCCTGAGTTGTGGAGAGTTCGGAGTTTAGAGACGTGGTTTGTTCCTCGAGGAAGGGCATCAGATGGGCGAGATGGATGGAGGACGGAGGCAAGCTGTGAGGGCTACAGATGGTGCATGTTAGCTCCACGGCTCATCAGAATTGGTTGAGGGGGCTACTTACGGTACGGGCACCTCAACAGGGCTGCCGTTCGCGCTGCCCTCGGCGCGTTCTTTCCTAAGCTTCGCGTCCTTAACGCATTGCTCAAGCGAATTGAGTGCCTTCACAACATGGCGCTTGGCTATTGTGTCTTCGAAGTTAGCTTTCCACGTTCGGTCTAGTTGATCGATGATCTGTCTGTGGACATCGTTCAATGTGGTCGGCGCATATTGCGCAATGGTGGGGAAGCAGGACGCGAAATTAGCGGGTGTGCACTTGTCAAGCGTCGCCTTGACGGCATGGTTGAAGATGTTGATGAGGGCCTGCGCTTTCGTGCCTGGGGAGTCGGCGACTGGCGGAGCGGGGGTTGGCGAGGGAGAGCGAGACTCTGGATTTGCCATCGAAGGCATCTTTAATAGCCAAGTGTTCGGTGGGCGCTGGCAGACTGTCGTGAGGTGATGGAACACAATGTTTTCAAACTTGTTTACTGCGAAGAGTGCCAAGGCCTTGACACGCTAATACCATCACGTGTACAGGTGTCAGTGATTGGCGGGGGGGGGAGGGGGGCCATCTCGGAGGATCAGTGGCGTGTCCTTCTGCTTATGCTCACTCAACACCTACATGCGAGGGGAAGTGTGTTATAATGTGCGCAGGAAGACTTCCTAGGGTCCCAGAATATCAGGGCCGCATGAAGACGAAGCGACGGCTGAAGCGAAGGCTGAGCCATTAAAACAAAGCCGTGTTTACTTCACGAAGTCGTTCCAAACACCCCTTCCTTAAGGACATCATTTCAAACGAACACTTCACGCATTCCTTTCCTCCAAATATCTCCCCTGTAAACTCGGTTCTTACACGATGATAAACCAAGTCGACATCTTCATCAAATACGCCCTTCGTTCACTTGGTCTTCAACCCCAGCCAGGAAGTCCAATTCCATCCCCATCCGACTCCCTCCAAACCCGACCCCTTCCAAAGCGTGGACCAGCCCAGCCAGCTATCTCGGGCAATTGCGAAGTTTATGAGCGACAAGCGTCCTCGTTGTTAATGTCCAGGCTTCCACTCGAGTTACGTAATATGATATGGGAGCGAGTCTTAGGAGGTAATTATATTCACATGTACTGGCGCGATAGAGACACGCTTCTAGGATTTATCTGTGAAGAACAGAAGCAATGTATCAGTCTTGCCCATAGCTCGGAGAGTAATGTGCCTTGGGATTCTGCGGTGACCATTAAAGATGAGGACATCGATCAGGGGAAAGGCTGGATGGGGCTACTGTTGAGTTGTCGAGCTGTGTGAGTTTGTCTTTCGTCTTGCCACTTTTCGTGTCTAGCCTCTAGTGTTCGAAAAGTATCTTATGTTACCCCCTAATGTAAAACTAGCTACTTCGAAGCCTCCAAAATTCTCTACAGTACCAACACCTTCGACTTCACCGACCACTGGCTCAACCTTAACTATCTCCCCTGGCTGCTCCCAATCTCTGCACTCACTACCATCACTCAAATCACCATGACTTGCCACGGCGTCCAACTCCCCTCTGCTTACCTCGACTTCCAACTCTGGAAAAGAACGTGGGAAACACTCTTTTTGTGTAAAGCGTTAAGGTATTTGCATGTTGAGTTGGTGCCGGTAGCTGCCCACACGACACTAGCTACGAAGACGTTGATGGCAGCCGCTGAAGATGAGTATTTGGAGCCACTGCGGGCCGTGTGCGGGATGGGAATAAAGGTGTTTGAGCTTGTATTGCCCTTTGAAGAGAAGGAAGATGGGAGGGTGAGGGGGGAGTTGGTTGGATGCAAGATCATTCGAGTATGAAGCTCCTAAGGACGGAAAACCCTCACATTGCAAAGCCATGGGGAAGAGATCCATACCCGTAGCACGACTTCCGAATCAATACGCGACCAATTCGTCATAATCAGATGCGTAATTTTAGTTCCCCTAAGATTCCAGAGGAACTTACCAAAACACCCCACCATGGCATCAAGGGACTTCTGCCTGAGCTAACTACCCGGGAACTCCCGGCTTGTCTACTTGAAACCGCCTCACCACCCAAACCTTCACATTATGCTCGTTTTCAAGCCCGGAGCCCCGAGACCTCTCAAGCACAACCGTGCTGCACCGTCAGATTAGCACACGGCAGTGCTCGGTTTCCTGGTCCAACGCAAGGCTTGTCTAGTAGGAACGGCGATGTTCACCCGAGCGAGAGTATTCAACCACCCCACAGAAATAGCCCCATTCCCAAGAAAACGGTTCTAGCAGTCCTGAGGAGACACTAAAGTAAAATTGCGATAGCTCAGGTGTGGGCAGGAGGTTGGGCGTTGGAGCATGAGTTGCGTTGCCACCTTATACACCCTGACATCGTTGCCGCTGTGTGCTTCGAGTAAATCCCAGATGTACTGGCAATGAATTTAACGGCGCGCTCGCTAGTGTCGCTGATTATGGGGTGAGAGATGAAAAGGATATTAGGCATCAGAGACCGTGGTAACTATAAGGAAAGAGACCGGCTAAGGAGTCGCGTGGGTGGTGAACTTTCTTTAACTAAGTGACGTCTGTATCGGGATCTAGTAGCTTATTCCTCTTGCCAGATGAACTCGCTCCACATGATGGCGTCGTCTGGGGTCAGCCACACAGACGATACCATACGCTAGCATCGTGGTTCGGTAATCTTCGCCTCTGGTTCCCTTTCAAGCCTTTGACGGTCTCCTCCCAGGGGAATTAGTCCACCTCCACATTTCTCTGGCTTCCCCAACAACGCGGCCAGAATCCGACGAAGCTCTCCGACGGGGATTCAAGTTTATAATGCTTCACTTGCTCCCACTTCTTCAACATCCTCATCACATCAGCTTCGAATTCAGTGCGCCGAGAGAGCTTAGCTTTTATTCCAAAGCCCATGGAGAGGAAAGGGAATTCACCATCTGACCACATGCCGTACCGAAATTTTAAAGTGTTCTCGGAGGAACTGTCGGTACATGGACACCGAGGAGATCGGAAAGCAGGAGCCTATCTTAGGATGGATTTCTGCTGGGAGGCTGAGGATAGTTACTGAAGGTGGAGGCGGTGGAGACAATGGCTTTAAGGAAGAGTTTGATGAGCCAGAATGTAACTTTGTGATGATTGATTGAGAATGCCCGACTCGCACGACACCTTGGCCGACAGCTGTTATCTAGCACGCGCATACTTTGTCGCCAGGGCGCCTTCTGCACAATAGTAGCGTTGTTTCTGCTTCCTTTGCGACATCTTTCTTACTGTAAATATCCGGTTTACAGATCTTTTGTCTTACAAAGGAAGAACCAAAGCTAGGAAGTAGGTAACCCCTTTCTAGACGTTCCATTGACATTAAAGTTAAGCCATGCTCAGACAGCTAATCTGAGGAAGAGTACTGAAGGAGATACATCTCATACTGGCTGATTCATGCTCATTACAGTCACAAACTACAATTTTCATATCAGTCAGTGGATACAACAAATATACTGTCCTATTTCTCTTCCTGGGATTCTAATTATCTATACGACTGGAAACAAAGATGAGATACGTACTGTGGTTGATGGACTATTCCACAAATACTAACCCACGCCTCCACCCGATTCATAACCAAGTAAAGTATAAAATAATCCCAGCTACTAGCCTTGTACCCTGTTCTTTAGTCTATTAGGAGCAAAACCTAAAGACCTTCAAGCATAACACCGCCAGACCTTCTCGCGGAATTTGCAGTCTCTAAATACCCGACAGTCTGCGACGCCCGCCCACGCCGTGCTGGTCTCCTTGTAGGAGTGCTGGATATGCGCGAAGGGTTTTCGTGGGTTTCCCGGATCTCCTCGAAGATTTCGCTCCGAGGTAGCTCAACCAAGACACCCTCTCTTCTCGTTGGAGTAATTGGCATCCCGAGAGCATTTCCTCTTCGCAGTGATGAATGATAACGTGATGGGCCACGCGCGATGCACACGTTCGGGCTCAACGGACTCAGTTGTATGCCGCCGTCATCTAAATCGATGCTCTCATGCGGTGTGCACGATTGCTTGAGCTGGCTTCTAGTAGTGCCAGGAGGTGTCTCAGGAGGAAGGAGAATGCCATGGTACTGTGATGCCTCGAGCTTAGGAGGCTGGTCAACTTCCGTTTTAGAAAGACAGACATCTAGTACTTGTCTATGTAGTCTTCCTGGGTGTGCTAGTACTGGATTCGATGGGATTGCAGAGCTCATAAGAACGGAAGGTGGCGGGGTACGGTTATAATGGCTGGGAAGAATGCTACTAGCGCTTGGGACGCTATTCGTGGCCTGGGATCTGAGAACAACACATTTCTCTTCTGAAAAGCCGTCTTCTTGGGAGACGGTGGATAGCCAATCATCAATCCGAGGTTGAGGTGATATAGAACGTGAAGATCGATGATAGCGATGCTCGGTGATGAGATAGTCTGAATCGCCGGACCAGGATTCAGATAAGTTTTCCGAACTCGTGGGTCTTTGTAAACGTTCTGGGGTTGCCTCGGCTGAATCGGGCCTATTGGACGGCAGTAGGAATCCTGGGCCATATGACGATTGAGGGTGCCGATCGGTTGGAGAGTGCGCTCGGGAGGTGTTTGGGAGCTGCGGGTAGGCTACCATTCCATTGCTAGCTGACGACACCACCTTTCCGAAACTTGCTTCCTCGAAAATCTGTCTCATTCGGCTTGCGTGGCTAGGCCGTGCAGGAGATTCCAACAATACAGAGGTGTATTGAGAGCGTCGTATGCCGACATTCGCGATTCGTTTTGAGGATGGAGGTGTCCTGATGTTCGGAGTTCCTGTGATATCAGACGAATGTAAAGAAACGCCGCCGTCAGGGGATTCCTGCAAACAACGGGTATCTAGATTTTCGTCACATTGAAACAGGGACAAGCTTCTGAATGGAGATAAGTGATGAGCCTGGGAATGGTATGTTTGCCCCTTTCGCCTAAATTCACTTCCAGGCTGAATGGGGTGAGGGTCTGTGTGGTGTTTCCTCAGTGTGTTTTGCTGAACAACTATAATGAGACGACATACCGTTGATGTGACGAGTTGGTGAGGCTGTGGGTTGGAAAGACACTGGCGACATGCTTTTCTGGAGATGAATGCCCCTATCTGGAGTAATTTCCTATGTGCTCAGTTGAGATTGTGTGTTTCAAAAAACCGTCTAAGTAACCGCTCGATTGAGCGACTCACGTGCTGGAGAAGAGACATTGCGATGAAGAATTAGTGGAGCAGGTTCTGGAGAGCGCGAAGTGGCATGTATAGATTGGCCCGCTGGAGGGGCGGATGCCCAAAGGATGATGACTCGCTGATGGGCAGATTGAGTTTGTATTTGACAAGTTCCAAGAAGGCGAAAGTACTTAGGTCGCGGTTTGTTGGGAGCCGCGTGCTACCGCATTATCCAGTAGTCGGCACCAAATGCTGCGGCAGTCACGACCCGATCATGAAGGCGCAATGGTGTTTCCGGCACGCCCAAAATTGCCCATGGATGCATATTGAGTGCACCGCAAAGCAGCACAAGTGATGGATCACCGTAGAAATTGAACACCAAACAGGGCGTACCACGTAAGGACAGATAAGCGACCCTGGAATAGAATTCTAACTTGGCTGACGTTGAATGAGAGATGAACGGAAGCAGAAGGAAATGATGAGGACTGGATGTAGCACTCCACCTGATACAATCCGGCCACGGCTTACCAACAGTGCCACTGAGTGATCGATCCCTCGGCGGCGAAATCTCTCTCGTCGCATCTACGAATAGCTCGGTCCTGTCTCTCCCGTCTTCTTCTCTTGGTGTCATCTTCGGGGAGAGCACGGCGGCAGACAGTCGTTGCTGCTACCGTCTCCGCTGCGCTGGTACGTACCTTAATATAACCCCGGAATCCTTAATTCATTTCGCTGGCTCCAAGTCTCAGTCTCAGCCTGAGCAGCAAAGCCTCGTCACGCGCAGCTGCACCTCAAGGCTGCTCCAGAGGGGAGTGCATTGAGCCCAGTCCTCGCTGGGGCTCAAAGGATAGATATCCTCCTCCGGATGGGCAGCGCGTCGCACAAACGCGGACAGGGAGCTGATGCGAACGCTGCCAGCAACGCGGCTTGTCTGAGAAAATAATGCACGGGTGGTGGCTTGCTGCCTTCGACTCAGGAAGCGATGACCTCGGATGGTCGAACAGGCCAGCCATGCCTCAAACGCACGGGGCCAGGGCCGCCGCAAATCTCGGGACTGAAAATTATGCTCCACCCAAGGACGGTGGAGACGGGCAGTTGGGGTGCGACTGCGACTGGCGACACAAATAAGTTTTCTCAACGGCCAGCTGGAATGGCCTTTGGAGCTGGCCCACGAGCGCCACAGCATGCGATAGGCGGTGTCTCTTGAAGCGAGTGTGATATCGGAATATTCTTGTCGGCATCTCCTCTTTCGCCTGTTGCCTTTCCCCTCTCGCTATTCTTTTGTGTGTGCTCGGTATCGCAAAGCGACTTGCGCTAGTGTCTCACCATCAGCTGTCCAATCACACTAGCTATGGCCACCCCTGATCTCTCTATCTGGAGCTCTCCGGGATGGCGTCTTCTTGTCTTTGCTCAGAGGCTTGCGGGCTTGCTGTTCCAGGTCAGTGCGCCTGACCTGACCAAAAGTCCCCTGCCATCCTCAACTGTCCGCCCAGACCACCCACAAGTCTCTCAGTGTGTCAAGACTTCGACTCCGCATCCGTTTCTGTCTTCCCTCCTCCATCCTCACCACCGGCTCTAGGTGTCGGTGAAGCTCTTCTCGCGGGCTTGACGCTCCTCTCTTCGCCGCCCAGCTGCTGGCCTTTGCCGTTCTTTTCTTTCGTTGACGTTCCCCCTATCCATACGCCTCAGCCCTATTCTTATGTGCTGCGAGTTAAATATATCAGCTATTCCTAACACAACGCCCCAACCTCACCGCTCTCTTGCAATTAACTCCTCCGTACCCATCGCCATATCTGCCTTTTCGGACCCTCGAGCGATTTCTTCCGACGGCCTCTGTTTGAGCAACATCTTCGCCTTGCAGCCATGCCAATGCTGCGATAGCGTACGTATCGCGTTCCTTCTGAAACCCGCATTTGGAAATCTACTTCACCGCGCTGCAACGGACATTGTCACAAGTTTTCCCTCCTATCAAAGCTCATTAACTTTCCTCTCTTCTACTATTGTCCTTCAGCAATGTGCGCTTCCCTCGTGGGCTGCGGTTTCACCTCTGCTGCTTGCATTGTCGTGTGCCTGAATGGCCCTCACTCTCTTATTCGCTTCCTATTATGCTAGGGATATTGTCCAATTCTAAGAGGGTATAGGTTTCCATAATTCCTAATACATGATCCCCGGGCCTATCGCCTCCAACCTCCTAGTCTCGTTAACACCGAAACTGCAGCTACTCGCGTCTACCCTAAGCAAGGAACCATTGTCTTCGGCACGTCTGGGTACCGACACCCTGTTCCATCCTAGCTATCTCTGCCGTGCGCCCTCCATTAAGCTGTCCATACGTTGGAGCTGGCCTCATAGCATCGCGAGGCCTCTTGCAATTTGTAATTGTTTCCGAAGGTACCCTTTCCTTACGGCCTCGCCCCACTCACCCACTGCCCTGGCCCAAGGTACGGTCGGCCTCTTCGTTTGCCCGCTAGTGGTTGCAACCCCCCCCCGCTTTCAGCGGCTCGCTGCGCTTTCTGAGACAAGTGCAAACGGACGAGTCTTTCCCCAGCTTGAGCTGCGAACAGTTCTGACCATTTCCCCCCCACCTCCTGAACATTCGCCCAACACCAGACCCGTGTCGGTATACAGACACAAACCACCGCCACCATTCCTCCAGACTATTCATGAGTTACGATTCCCGACTGGCCGGTCGGCCCTATGGCGTGCCAGAAGGAGATGGAGACGATACGAATGGCAGAAAGGGATCGGTGCGAGCAGCGCGAGAAAGGTTGATGGCGGCGCAAACGCAAGGACAGCTTCCGGATCGTTCGCGAATAGTAGGACTTCCTCAGAGGCCAAATCAGCTTGTTTCCCAGTTCTCCGTTCAGAACAGGCCGCGCCCGCAGGACCTGACGCCTCCTGATAGTAGAGGGAACGCCAATGCTATATCACCAACTCCACAATGGCCCTTGTCTAACGATGCGGAAGATATACTAGACCCAAGGCCAGGACAATACCTGCAATCGCCAAATCGAGGTCCACCACCACAACGTCCTCCTCGACCAACATCAGATGATCTACCAATACAACAGCTATCTCCTCAGGGTTATCGCAGCTCTTACCAAAGTGATGATTTGCTATCTCCAGACGTTACCATATCTTCAAGGCCTCTCACAACATCTTCCGCCGCCTCCACAAGCTCTTCGCTAGGCTCTATACCTGACTTTCCCGTACCACAACCACCAATGCCAACAATACAGCCACTGCCTCGACGCAATCCGTCCCTCGGTCCACCTCCATCAGCGCGGAGAGGACCGTCGTCATACTACACCCAGATGTCGTATGTCTCACCGATCGCTGAAGAATCAGAAACTCGTTCCGACACAATGCGCTCGCTACATGGATCTTTCGCGTCCAGTAATGTCATACCATCGAACAACGATGACTTTTACTTAGAGGACGATGGCATCCAGTCCATCCGGTCCGATGATGACGAGACGGTCACAAGTGACTATGGACGGGATTCGAGAGGTAGTGATCATGACGATCGAAGCGGGCTCGTCCAACCGGCACTAGTTCGACAAGCTAGCCTAGGACGTCGGACAAAGCCTTCACTGATGACGATCAAATCTGGTGACAGTTTACGAGACAACGGCAGCGCCAATAACATGCCGGCTCCTGTGAAGAGAAAGCCTATTGGAGAGGCCGTGGGTGCCGCCGGAATTGGAAGTGCCATGCTAGCAGCAAAAGAAGGGATTTCCGCGAAGACAACGCCTGGACCACCTAGCTCGTCGCTGAGCAGCGGAACTGGCTTATTTGACCCTTCATCATCTTCCTCTGAGTCCTTGAACTCTTTGAAAAAGGGAAAACTAGAATCGCGGAGAGAGCTAGATCCGGAGAAGGAAGAGCCGGAATCACCAGCATATCCTCTTCAACAGGGTAGCCGACAGACAACGCTAGCTGAGCGCGTTGGAAAGCGTCGTCCGCCTCGGATCGACGTAGATGCGGTCCGCGAGGCCGAAGCGCGAGGGAGCTTGACAAGTCTCCCGGAGCTAATTAGAAGGGCAACTAGATTGGCGGCTAACCTGGATAGAGGAAGGACGGCAAGTCGACTTGGCCTAGATTTTTGGGAGAGCGGAGCACCGGACAAGAATAAACTCGACTCTAGACGGTCTGGATCTTTATCTGACATGCTCGCCGCTTTTCCTCCACCAGGCGAAGCAACTCCTAGAGGGGACGGGACACCGAACAGGCGCTTCTCGAAGTGGCCTTCCGCTGGGGGTTATGACGCACCAGGCACTGAGTCGGCTCAGAGCACTCGCAAACCGGAGAATCGGCGTAGGAAGTGCTGTGGCATGCCGATGTGGACGTTTGTAACGCTCCTTATTGTGCTGCTGTTCCTCGTCGCTGCTGCTGTTGTAATTCCTGTGGTTCTCATTGTGATCCCAAAGATGAGGAATAATAACAATGCAGCACAGAACAGCGGCAACAACAATAACAACAATCCGCCAGCAAGCGTCCCGACATCCGGAGGTCAAACAGGCCAATGTAATGGCATAATATCATGTCAGAATGGAGGCGTTGCAATTCTAAACGCCGACAAGTCGTGCAATTGTGTTTGCATCAACGGCTTTACCGGAAAAACATGCGGGACGCAAACGGATGCAGGATGCACTACAACCAACATTGCAGGTACCGCTGATAACGCTACCATTGGCTCCGGTATCCCTCGTTTGATTAGCACTGCGCAGAACAACTTCAGCATTCCTCTCGATCCTCCTAGCCTTCTTTCACTCTTCTCGAATCTCAGTCTCACTTGCACGTCTGAGAACGCCCTCGTAACCTTCAACGGCCTCGCATCTCGATCAATTCCGCAAGCTCATCTTCCGATACTTGTTGACACCTCTTTGGACCCTTCGAGGACCCTTCCTCTTCTAAATTCACCGCACCTTCAGCCAGACGTTCGCCAACTTAAACAACGTCAGGCGGTTGGCCCAGTCGGAAATGCTGATCCCAGCGTGGCTGCGGTTGCCTCCGCGACTGCAGCAGCAAGCTCAACACCAACCCCCTCACAGCCAATCTCGAGCAATTCCACGGCCATTGACTTTGCCCGCATTGGCGTCCTTCTTGTGTTGCAAGAGACTCGCAAGCTAGAGAGCGCAGCTAGCGCACAGGAGAATCTACAGACCTTTTTGACCAATGACCGTAAAGGCGCGAGCAACGGCAACTCAGTCGATCTGGGCAGCAACATCTCGATTGACCTGGTGGCTTTCAAAATTAAGCTAAGCAACGGCACGACTATTATAGCAAAGCCCTCAAACTCTTCTGTCCAACTACGAAGATGAGAACGTAAGCATCCTATCGATGCCAAATCACCCGATTCTGCTTCATGCATCATGCAACATCTTTTCATTTCACACACCTTCACATGAAAACTTTTTTTGATCATGGAGTGTATTATACCTGGCGTTGTGTCCCGCAAGCTTAGCCTTGCCGCATTGTTTCGTAACATCGGCGTGGGAAGCATTTACACCACCCAGCGGCCGTCTACTTTCTTCTATTCTTACTCACATGCACTTCTTCCCTCTCGTCTTGAAGACGCGTGGGCGATCTATGGATTGGATCTAATTTCTGGGTTTGGGCTTAATATACCCCTTTTTAGATGAAATAGTGGGCTGAAGGATTGGATGAATGCCACACCGGCAAAGTACAGTGCAGACTGGACTTGTAAATAAGTATGCCGAATAGCATGTGCGTAGATGCATAATGCTGAAATGCAAATTTGGATCAGAATCAACACGGCAAGGTATCTTATGATCCGTCGTGGGGATGCGAAAAGTGACGGAAGACAAAGGTCTAATACGCCCTACAATTTCTAGCAAGGAGCTTGTATGATAGCATGCATCCTGTTAAGAGAGCGTAGATATTTTCAAGTGATTGCTCCAAATTGCCACCCACAGTTTTGTTGATTTTCTAGTGTCGCTTACTGGCCAAACAATGACAAGAGTCAGGTGAACTCAAGACTTCATCCTTTCACTCCTTTGGGCTTGGCAGTCCACCTCTTCGCCCCGGCAACGCGGCCGCACACACAAAACGCTGACAAGGAAAATTTTCTTCTATTCTCCTCTAGTAATAATCTGACTCTACCCGCACTGAATATGCCCCTGATATCTGTACTGCATGCATTTTCTATCTACCTATATGTTCTTCTGGGGTGTATGGTAGAGGGTTGACCTTTTGCCACTTGCAACACTAGCTCCAATCTTTCTAAGAAGTTGTCCCTGGAAGATTTCCCCTAATACGTACTTCGCTTCATCCATCGCATTTCGTGCCCGAATATGCGAATCCTTCCTATATTTGTGGCGTACTTTACGCTATGGTGTTGCCCAACTCGACACTCAAACGTGTGGAGGATACGACCCACGTTACAATGTGTGGAGCGACGACAACAAGCTACATCCCTACCGTTAAGGAAAGCGTTGACCTCCTTGACACCCCTGTCACGCACTCCCCACCGATCACAACTCTTGCCTCGATAGTAGCGAAAGACGCAGTCCTCTCGCCAGCCCCAACCACAGGCGTTATCACTCCGTAACGGCCACTAGTTAACCCGGTAGTATCCCTCTCCAACCTCAAGCAGTAGGCAGTGGCTTCTCTTGTCACGCTAGCCTACTTTTATCTTTATATTAATAACCATTTCGTTCTTGGCTTTCGTATGAAACCGCTTGTACTAATGCTACGCAAAAGAAACATTTTCTCGCACCTCACTTCTGCTCTGGGCTTCTGCAACTACGTGATTGGGGCCTCGCCCCGCCGGATATAGCTCCGGTCCTCTGGCAGCGTTTGAAGAAGCTACCAAGTTTCTTCACGTGGTATTGAAATAGGAATTATATCCCTTCACTGAAGCACGGAACGCTATACTCACTATTAACCACCACCTTTTCCGCTGCCATTTACGGCACCTACTAGCTTCAATCAGCTGGTTTTTGGAACTCCTATTCAACCATATCGTTTGGTGCATGACTGAAACGGACTCCTACGCCCGATTCTGCGCCTGGATCAACATCAGAAATTACTCAAAGGAGAGCGACGCTCACAAATAAGCAATTCAAATTATATACATTGACCTAGCCAAGCTACAGAAGATGATTCCCGAGCTCATATCCTCTCTCTGCACCGCGAATGACTACACTACAACTCTTGTTGCCTTCACACAAGAATAAGGAATGGCGATCCTCTCTCATCAAAGAATTCAACTGGGGCCGCGGTCTTCAATCACCGGAACCCGAACCCTATCCCCACTAAACAACCTTACAGGTCAGCTAAGCTCAAATTCCTAACAGAGAAGAGCGAATATTGTCTCCATTACACCATTATATCCGACCAAACTTGGAATGTCATTCCCAAGTCTTACCAAATGAAGAGACCCGAGACACACGCCGGGCGAACCGTCACCCCCATGCACAACGGAGGACGGCGCCAACCCAAGAGAAAGGAAGTGTGCTTCGTCTTCTTCTAAAAGTGCCCTGGAGTTGCCCTGCTTTAGTACGAGAAGAAGAATAGCTCATTCAAGACCCAGGGCCCAAAGGAGAGGGAAGGAAGATATAGGGATGGAGAACACTGCGGCCTCCGGAGAAGCCTTCAAAGAGTTGGGTATTCCGATTTAGAGTGTGGCTATAGCCCTAAAGAAGTATGTATATTACTACCATCCCCAAAGCACAAGATCAGCCAAACTAACTAAAGAGCAACAGGCTGTGGGTCTCCCGGCTTTGCCTTATAACTAATCCTCCCTGCCGGCAAAAAAAATAAAGCAATCAACGCCCCCCCTCTCACTTGCGGATAATGATGCGTTCCTGCTCCCGGGCTCGTCCATCCCGCGCCTTGCCACCTGTATAGAAACCCAATATCAGTACAAGGCTGTTCACCTGAAAGCCTTCACCTCGATTCGATTCAAGTCAGTTCGACTTACCCCTGCATACCCATTAACTCTGCCCCCTCATCAATTTGCACAACACAGTTTATCTCTCCATATGGGTGACTATGATACTGTCCTGCGTACTCCTCTTTCGATTCCATGTATACCGTCGTGACACTGAAAAATCGCGTTTCTGGCTTCGGCAGGCAGATCTTAGAGCGTCGGTACTTTTCCCCATCGATCGGGAAGTTGGCTACCCAGCCTTCTTTTAGTCCTTGGAGAGTTAGAGCACAGAGGTCGCGGTAGATGGGGTTGGATGGCCCATAGGACGCGTTTAGGTAGGATTCGAGAGCAGCTCCTGGCGTTCTGTGTTGGGGTTTGTTAGCTCTCAGGTTTTTGGTTTGCTTCTTTTAGTTATCTTGGCATTTTAATTTGGTTTGACTTTGCATTTTGTCTGGCTTCCTGCTCTAGTTTCTTTCCTGTTCTTGCATCTTGTTCTTGCGCTAAGTCCTGACTCTCTGTTCTAGCTCTTTATTCTCTCCATCCTGCTTGGGCTCATACACCTTTCTTCAGAAATGAAAGAAGAAAGAAGAGAAAAGCAAAGATTAGGTTACTCGTACAAATTTTCAATCTCATCAAAGAAATCTTGACATCGTTTGAGGAGTTTCTGGGCGGTCGGGTATTTCTGGACGTCGACTTCGACCGGAGAGGCATCCTTGGTATCGAGATTCATGGTAATTCTGTTATGTATTTGAAATTGGAAATGGAAGGATATGACAACTTGAGTTTTGAATTGCCCTGTTAGTTTCCTGAAGGGAAGTTTTTGTATGCTTTACGGACGAACTAATCCGTAGGGCTTAGTAAAGTGCGAGGTCCCGTAATGCTACCAAAGCAGGTCACTCACCCTATCATACAAATAAAATAGCCGAGGAAGAGGACGACGGATATTTTGTAAGTCGGTGCAAGCCTTTTCAAGTGGATTGATGGCGATAGTATTACGTTTATGACAGGTCTTACCCCGCAGTCTAGCGGGCTCGGGATCTGTTCACGGAATCATACATACAGACCAAAGAATTAATATGTGGTTTAAGAAATGAGCACGGCAATGAGATCGGAATTTGTATGGTTTAGAGTTTACAGGCGTGCTAAACTTCGAAAGGATATCGAGTAGAAGAACAAGAACTTGCTTAAACGCATAAGAACACTACCCATCATCCAACAACAAAATAATTTCCTCCCAAAGCCTTCCCAAGCCCGAGTTTTTTCTCACAGGCATCCTGATCCCACCGCACTCTCGCCCCTAGTCCAACCTCATCCACCAGGCCCAGTTCCTTCTTGATCTTCTCATTCGTTAGACCCTCTGGTTGTTCCCAGACCAGGAAAATATATCGGTGCGAAGCAGAGAAGAACGGGGGATTCGGAGGGGCATAGGATGCAATGGGTGGTACATCTGGCACAAGTTTGACCCACCCCCCTGCATCCGGTTCACCTTGGGCACCTAGATTAGCTTGAATCCCATGGAGAACAGGGCTAGCGAGGGCCATTGACGGGACCGGGGCGTCGAGATCAAGGGCTACGGCGATATACTTTGCGGCTGCGGATTTTGTAATACTCCTCGAGATGGAAAGGGTCGGTGCCGGCTTGGAGGCTTCCTTGGTGACTGAGGAACCAGGCTTCGCGATTGTAGAGGTGGGGTAGTGGATCTGCAACGGGGCTTTGCCGGTCTTCTTGAATTCATCAAGAGCATACTTGACGCTTGCTGGTTCTTTGGGCATAGCGGGAATGCTCGAAAGAGGCACGATGAGGTTTAGGTGTTCAGAATGATACTAGGAATGGGGTACTTGATTGGACTGCTATCTTTTGTATGCCGATGGCACTGAGGGCAACGGCAACTGCATGAATTTATATCTGGACTTCCTCCTGGCGTGATCCGACACCGTTTGGCTCTTTCAAGTAAGTTTTCCTACGGTTGTTGATCTAGTTAGAATCTCTTGTTCAAGTGTTCGGTGAGGCTGGCCGAAGGACACGGAATTATGCTTATGTCCGAGGACGAGAAAAGTGCCAGATTAGGCATAGCGCGTATCTGTTGATGAGATAGCTAAGATAATGCAAAGGCATGAATTTAGAACGGTCTCAAGATGTTTGTAAATCAGACTGGTTATATTCGAAAGGAGAAGCGTTCGAGCAGTGCAAGACCGATGAGATCATTTCGGGCTAGCAGGCTTGGCGCTTGGTTGAGGAAGGTGTCATCTCTCCGACCTCGTTCCTACCCCTTCATCTTACAGTATTCTCCGAACAACCCCGAGGACGCCTTAAGAGGAATCAGTCCATCTAGGATTCACATGCCAACTATCCTGTTCGCCCTGGAATATCGTCTGCTTCCATCCCAGCAAGCTACCGGAAAACTAACATTTTGGATCCCACATCGGGACTCCGCCCACGTCCTTCTCTCGTCCTGTGGCCCTAACCGACGATGACTTCAAAAAATTGGGATGAAGACGGCCTTGTTGTCCTTGCCTTTCGTGATGTGCCAAGTCACAGCTATTGGGTAAGCTTTGCTACCGCGAGAATGACAACAGGAGGGGACAAGATCTGAGGTATGGCTGCACTAAGAGGACATTCGATCATGCAAAGCTGTAAGAATAAAGAAGCGTGCAACGTGCGCGTGTCTTCATATCTGGCTTAACTGCGGACGGCGAATATCCTTCAGGAGTGTGACTGCGAGCATCAGTTGCCAAATCGCGGGGTCACCACGCCAAACTTAAAGCGAAACAATTTAATATAAATGGCGATTTTGGAGAGTATTAACGGTCAGATGAGCGCCTAAGGCAAGAGTCACAGAGAACAACAGGTACAAACAGAGCCTGCAGGTTTGACCCATACTCATGTAACCATTCTTCCGATTGTGGACGTCTACCTGGTCCTATCACAAGCTAAACAACCCCCTAATGTGGCTTGCTAACACTTCGCTGTAACCTAAGAAAACTATGACTTAGATATGAAGTTAACATTCGTGGCAAGACAGTTTGTAGGCACTTTGTTAATCCTACAAAGGCACATACATATACATGTCTCTTACGAAATTCATCGAAGTCGAATTTGATCTTTTATACCTAAACGCTAGGTTTTCCCACCTTTCATGCATACATCAAAGGCTGTATGGAATATCATAGGCACTTCGCGTTGTGGATCTAGCCCACGGACCCGGACCCTAGTTTGATGAACCGAATCGCGGCTCTCACCACTCATCTCCCAAGGACAAGGTATCCTCACACCCCCCCCCCCTGCGCTCTTAATTCTAACTCTAACTTACGCCAAGTTATTATTCACACTTCGTCTCCCATTGCTCAGATTTCCCTGGCCCTGTCAGGCGGAACGTTCACGCCTCATCCGTGTCTTGCTAGCATCTTTTGAACTTCCTAGCTTGGCTGATCTCCCGTGGTATCTTGGCTTGTGGATCTTCCGACCGTGACTGGTTTAGGCCTCAAATGCAACGACACCGGTCTTTCATCTCGCAATATTCTATAATACCCAATGAAAAAATCTTCCTGGGAGTTTTCGGCAGGTCACATCTTGGTCCCTTTCCGGAAGACATGGTCAGTATGGATTAAGCAGCCGACCCAGAGTTGGGGCCCTGTCCGCACCATAATTTCTGAGAGCGTGACTATATAAACCTGCTAGGAGAGCAGCTTAAGCAACCTCTTAAGACTTTCTAGAGCGGTCCAGTCCTTTTCGTCTTCTTCGAGTCACCAACATGTCTCTCAAAGCAATTATTTGGTCCATTTCCCTTCTCATAACGGGCGCTATAGCCCTCCCGTCTAATGTTTCCACGCTTGCGGCGGCATATGCTTTGCAAGATACATATGACTCTAGCAACTGGCTGAGCAAGTTCGATGTTCAGGCTGTAAGTGACTCACCTGTTTTATAGTACTTGATACTAACGCCACAAAGATTGGAGATCCGACGCGTATGTCGTGCAGATAACACCTCCATACCGTGGCACTAACTGATCCTTATAGATGGCTTCGTCACCTATGTCGACCAAGGAACAGCCCAAAATCTTGGACTGATTCAGAACAGAGGAAACCAGGTTTACATGGGCGTCGATACGACTTCTCACCTTGACCCGAACGGCCCGGGACGAAAAAGCGTTCGAATTCAAAGCAAGAAAGCCTACAACCATGGCTTGGTCATTGCAGACTTCGCCCACGTCCCTGGAAGCAACTGCGGAGCCTGGCCAGCTTTCTGGATGGTCGGACCTAATTGGCCCAACCAAGGCGAACTCGATATCCTCGAAGGCGTGAACTTAAACACTTACAATCAAGTTACACTTCACACGTCCCCTGGCTGTGTTCCCAGTGTCGGTTCCGGCGGCATGTCCGGGCATCCCGTTGGAGACGCTGACTGCGGCGCGAACGGCGGCTTTGTGGGTTGCGGCGTCCAATCTGGCTCTGCAACCTCCTATGGAACGGCTTTCAATGCGAATGGTGGCGGTGTTTACGCTGCGCTATGGACGTCTTCAGCTATCAAGGTCTGGTACTTCGCGGCGAGAGATGTACCCGCAAACATCAAAAACGGCAACCCTGATCCCAATAGTTGGGGGCAACCGCAGGTATGTTGAGCCTTTGAATAAATTCTAAGTTGGTCGAAGTTCGATGTGAGCGAAGAGCTGACGATGATAAGGCGAATTACGCAGGATGCAATTTTGACGCGAAATTTTCGAATATGAATATTGTAAGCTCGAAAAAAAATTTGTTATAGATATGAATAGGGAGAGTTAAATTAACACAAAACAGATCTTCGACATTACATTCTGTGGTGATTGGGCTGGCCAAGTTTGGGGCTCATCTAGCTGTGCAAGTGTGAACCCAAGTTGCAATGCATATGTTGCGCAGCAGCCCCAATCTTTCGCAGACGTACGTTCTTGGATCGCTTATATATGTTGATCTCGACTAACCAATGCAACAGACCTATTGGTTGATTAATTCAGTCAAGGTATACAGTGTTTAAGGCATGAGGCATGAAAAACACTCGATCCGTCGCCGACTTTGGGTGACGTTCAGGTGGGTCAATCTAGGTGGGCTTTTACCGGGATTATGCGTGTAAATGGACCCTCGTTTCTTGTAGATACATTTTCGTTTCCTGTGGATATTTGAGAAGAAGGGAGGAACCATAATCCCGGAATCCGGGTATTTGGGGGTGATGAGGGTTATTACCAGAGAAAACGGTCGTTTATATACCCCATGGTCGCCTATGCTTGGAACCCACTATTTTATATGGCCATGTTGCCGACTATCTAAATTTATGAGTTGAAAGGAGGACATTGTCGTGATGGTCTCACGATGCTCGAGTAGACGACTATATGTATCGAACTCTAGTTTTCGAAACCTTCGACAAGTTGTTTCAAAGCTTTAATCTCTCCCTTCTTCCAAGTCTGCACTTTCCCCTGCCATTTACCTTTGCCGCCTCCTTTGATGCCACTCACAACTACTTTGACCTTCGCAGAAAGCTGTTCGACAAGGTCTTCCTGCCCGATAATCATGAGGTGTCCTACGGACTTGCCCTCTCCCGAAGCCAACACGACCACACCACGCTCCTTCGCTGCCTCCTTGACTTCAGTCCAGATAAGGTTTACGAAGTCAAGGCCGTCTGTGCCTCGGTGACTGAATGCGCGGTTTTGCGTCTCCAGAACAGCCTTTATCCGATCACCTTCGAACTTGGCGATCTCTTTTAGCAATTTCTTTTCTTTTTGCCGTGCTTCTGCAACTGATTCTCCTAGTTTCGCTACGTTGGATTGGACATCTGAAGGCGCATTTCCGCAGGACAGTGATACCGAGATGGAGCGAAGCGAGTTGATAGATTCAGCAGCGAGATTGATGGCGCGATCTCCGGCTGTGAAGTACAGACGACAAGTCGTCGAACGAGCCGTTTGGGTATGATGAAGCAGTATTAGAGAAATATGCGATGTCTGCTTAAGATGCGTCCCACAGCATGGATTCGAGTCTAAACCGCCAATGTTGATGACCCGCACAATTCCTTTTTCTTGATCGTAGTCTTCGGGTAGACTGTCTACTTTGGCGTCATTTGGCGTCTCTACCGTGATTGGTAAATTTTGGCGTATGGCTGCATTGCATCTTTCTTGGATAGTACGGATCTCGTCGTTGGTCGGTCTGCGGACTACTTCGACGTAGTTCATTTCGCCGTCCGCGCCCATGCTCCAACTGAGCGTGTCGAGGTTCATAGAATCCATGATCGCAGAGAGGAGATGCTGGCCGGTGTGCTGTTGCATGTGGTCCCATCGTCGTTTGAAGTTCACGTCCTGCCGAACTAGGGTGCCTGGGTCTAAGGGCTGGGGCGAGAGATGCACGCAGCGTAGGCCATGGCGTTGGACTGATGTGATGGGGATTGACTCGGATGAGGCCAGGGTAAGAGGGGTGATAGAGCCGTGGTCAGTTGGTTGTCCGCCGCCTGGGGTTCTATTAATTTGAGAGTCCCAATGGGATTAGTCTTGGAAGCAGGCATGCCTTCTGGAAAGAGAATGGAGTCACGAAACTCAATCAACCATGCCTTAGTCCCATTTTGGACCGACTTCTTGGGGTCCGTGGATTTGTTTGATTTCGAGTTGCCGTTTGTTTGAGGCGAGTATTCACTGCACGAAACAACCTCGGTCTGGAGGGTCTGAAGATAAGAGTCTCTTTGGCAACGCAAAGCGCCTACAATGCTTGGGGGTGGTCCAGCGATAGCCATAGCTGTGAAAAAAGGGCGATAGTGGGGGGCTGAAGGAAGCAAGGGACGGCGCACAAAGATTGACATAGAAGTAAGTAAAGGCGAGGTGGATGAAAGATTGAGAAATAGGAAGAGTCACACTTACGTCAGCTTAATCCAGGTAAATAGCTGTATCGCCTGCCCTACGCCTCTTGTTATCCGAATAATGCAGGACTTTTTAATGACCTTCCTTAAGTATTTTTCATAGGGCGTGTTATTGACTTCATGGTGGCTGAGACAGGGACAGCCCGAGGCTACACTTAATGTAGCCTAGCCTCGGTCCCATTCTTCTCTGGTGCTGACTAGCATCTCTAGCTTTACGAATGTTCAAGCAGCGACAAAACACCTCGAGGATAAGTTCAAGGCTGGAAATTATACTAAAACTATTTTGTTGACTCAGCCCTTGCAGCCTGTGTATGATGTTTCTTTGGAAGTTCGAGATGGCTTTACTACGGTTCACAAACTGCAAGACCTCTACGAGGAGCATCGAGCCTCCTAGGATGATGGACTTCGATGATGTAAGGTAATCACTGGTCCTGAAAGCGTACTGCTTTTTCTTCTGCTTATTGCTCACTTATGATGCGCTAATGCGCCGCTCTTCTTTAACTATGCAGAAACGACTGATCTCATCAATCCTTCTTCCCAAGGCCCAGACGCACCTATCCTCTATTATGTCCCTCGATATGCTGAGTACAATCCGGGGATTTCTTTAGTGGGAAGAGTTGTCCCAAGTGTTACTTCAACCTCAAGAGTCTACGATACAACAGGCGTTTCCGAAGACGATCCGAAGTCGAACCCCTTCGACACCCACGAAAACTCTCGAACGCCCATCATCATACTTCCATGTACCGTATTCTCCCTCTATAGACCATGGACACTCGACAGACGTCGGGTTCGAAGAGGCACCCTTGTTCTCTCGAGCTACGCGTCCTGCGATGAACACTTGATCGTAGGATGGAACACAGCTTTTAGCAAGGCCTATTGGAATGGATGTCCAGAACTGTATACGTGTCAAAGCTATAAAGTGGGATCGTGGTGGAATATTGGAAGAATTGGAAGAATTGGTCGCGTGTGCATGCTTCGTCCACTTCTTTTGCGCCAAAGCGAACAGGAGTGTGGAACCGGGGAAATAATCGAGGGGAATTAGGACATTCAGGTTGTTGCGGCAATGAACGTATTTAATGGTCAAGGGGTGGCTGGGGCACTGCAAGAAGCCCAGTAGCAGTTTTGGACACCGAACGAATTGACCAGTAAAGGTGTCCTTTACCCGACCGGCCAACGTCGAGAGGGTGGCTAAGTGGTTGCAAAGGATCATGGCATAACTATCGTCTGTGCTGGGCATTGGGTGGCCGAGGAATGGGAAATATGGTACCTGGCTCTGCGATTCTGGTCTTCCTTCCCGGCTGCTGCAACAAAGGAAGCGTATGAGGACAAGACTCGCTCCTCTCACGGTGCATGGCTGGAGCCCTAGCCAACTCACCGCCCTGCCTTCTACGGTGGTCTACTGTCCTGCAACAACGCGATATTGCCTTTATGCCTCCTCCAACCCATCTGCCCCTCACCACCGCTCTCCAAAGACCATGTCATGTCATACAACAACGGCATAGTGCATGTTGGAGACAAACAGCTGTTCTTTCAGCAGCTCCCCTCATCTAATTCCACCTGCCTTGCTCTCCTACACAGCTCCAGTTGCAGACCCGGAATGAGAAAGCGCGGAGAAGCTCACCGGACAGGGCAGTCGCAGTTCGACATCGGGAAAGCGTGCCACACTGGCCGTTCTCAAAATATAAGACGTCTCTTACGTCTCAATTGCCCTCTTGTTTCTTGCTTTGAAATAATTGCATCTTGACTTTGAGCGCTTATATAGGGGAGGGCGGTGGAGGTGTTCTGTCCCCATCAATCGTTGCTTCCTGAGGGTTGCACTGGGCCTACCGCACTTGCTATCCATCATGGCTACTTCCTCCCGGGTCTCATTGGCATCTAACCTCAGCCCCGATCCTCCAAAAACATGGACCTCAGCTCGAAAGCGAATATCTACTCGAAGCGACAGGACACCGGAGACATTCCCTCAGAAGAAGCGTCCTGGAGCTTGTCCTCGCACTGTTGCCACCCTGCGAACTAGTAGACAGCCGGTGAACGCAGGGCAGCGATGCCCAATCTGCCTCGAGGACTACTTCGACACACCACTCGGCGGCTCCCAGGTCATTTCCGTCAAACTAGTATGTTAATATATCTTCTGCAAGGACTGCATCGAAATGTTCCGTACGAATTAGCTCGGTTGCTCCCTTCTATGGTGCGAGGCGCAGTTCCCATTTCATCCTGACTCTTGTGATCTCTGCGCGTACTGGGAGAGGGCACATATCGACGAGCCGCTTCTGCTCACGGTCCGCGCTCGAGAGATGACGAGAAGCATCCATGATGCTCTAATAGAATTAGCGGAGGATGACGACTTCTTCAAGCTATCTAAATCAGCCAAAAGCAAGCTACTCAACCACGTCCAACAGACGCTGACCAAGTTCGAATGGCAATACCACCCGGCTGTTGATCTCGCAGAATTCCTGGATCCGTTCCTCCTCGCTGTCGACACCGCCTCTGCGTACGCTTTCTATGGCCTGGAACTTAAAACCCCAGCACCAGACGCTGCACGCTTCCCGCCTCGTGAGTACGACCTAGGTGACTGCTCGTCCGGGCAGGAACCTTGGATCGCAGGTTTCTTCCGACAATGGGCCCTTGAGTATGAACAGGAGAATGGGGAGGCCAGAGAAGGTTGGGGTGAGTGGGCCAAAAAGCGAGAGCGGGGTTCGGAATGGAGCTGGGATTGGCCATACAAGCGCATCGTGGGGCACAAAGTCGAGAATGGAAAGGTGCTGTACCGCATCAAGTGGGTAGGTAAGAGGTTTGGTGAATCATATGTTGGACGCGCGGAACTAGGCAATGCGAAGGTTTGGAGAGTTTATGATCGGGTGAATGGTGTGAAGCAGGGAGGGGACGCTGGCCAAAGGACGAAAAGGAGGAAGACGCGCTAGTTTGTTGGTGGAGCGGAGAAGCAGGTGTTAAACCAACGGCAGCATCGCGGATGGAACGTCCGATGGGCTCTACGCACGCATTGTGAAGGAAGCATGATGTAGGTAGGAGGAATAAGAGTGGACTGATAATGTTAGTGAGATACCCGTTTCTATGTTCTAACACTCTATGAAGCTTTCTTGTTTCGCTATCTACTTCCTATGGACAACGATGAACAACTTCATGGAACAATGGTTGTTGGATTGACAAAAGCCGCGTCTTTCATCCATGTTAGCCCGACCAACAATACAAACACACCTTCTTCACCCACCAAAAGCCCCTCTCTAACCATGACTCGATAATATTCTAAATTCTTAAAACCCACAACAGTAAGACGAGAGCAGGCGTTCTCAAGTGAAATAATGAAGTTGTCTTCCTCCCCTAAATTGACTTCACCGTTACAGCCGAGGACACCAGTTCGACTGTAGAGCTAGGAAGCGCTTAATATCTGAAAAAAGACAGACCCCATCAAAACACTTCTGGGGACGCCACCTGTTCCTCCCCTTCGGAAGGTTTTCCTTTTGCAAATTTTTTTTGGGGAATTTTGGGTGACATGATGTCATCTGGGGTTTTCCGTTTTGTAATTCTTTGTCTCTTGTTGGCTTCCATGCAAAGATATTCGGGGTATTGAAACCAAATTTGAATGTACTACAGTAAATTATTAGTTTCATAAAAGCCATTGCACCATACACTAACTGCATCGTACAATTGCGTTCGGGATTATTGTGTACTGCGCCGTCCGCGCAAATTTAAGGCAGAAAACAGAAAGCCGCCACTATAACCGATGCGCATGAATAATCCCATTACAATAACCTTCAAACCCTCAAACCCCTTAAGTCTACGCCGTAGTGAAATTGACCTCCAACAGCCCTCCCACCAAAACAACATGAAGCTAGGAAACTGCACATGGCTATAATGAAGCACATGTCCCTTACCTAGAGCCGGGTGATTCACTAAAACCACCTCCTCGACTCTAGTTTATCCCACCACCTCCCCTTCTCGCCCTCCTCCCTCGGTCCCACAAACTCAAGCACTTGCCCACCTTTCCCAATTCTGATGTCTAAATCAAATATATCACTAAGCCTCCTCTCGTCAACCCATCTCCCAAGACAGAAACTAGCTCGAACTCTCACCCCACCTTTGCGCTCTTTAGCAGTGTTGCTAAGATGCGGAGCAATATCTCCAGCAACACGGTATGCGAGTGCGGAAGGCGCGTAGCGGGTTTTGAGACAGACAGCCCAACGGTTGAATTCTTGGGGGCGGGCAGCGGGGGAGGGGGCATCGGGGATGGTAGTTGGGGCGACCACAGGTGGGGGTGTTGGGGATGAAGGGGGCGTGACGACGACGAGGGCCGTGGATGACGGTGAACGCGTGTCCATCCACGACTGTATGATGTCTTCATCACGTCTCCGACCTTCAAACATAGTTGGAAGCCATATGGATATGACGAGCTGCTTTAGATTGTGAAAGCAGCGAAGATTGTACAAGAGTGGTCTTGTGATGGGTGTAGGGCTTGAGAGAATTGGAGAGCCCGAGTATCCACAAATTTTGAGCTCGGTTATGGTCGAAGCGTGGTGGGCTGCGATTGTGTGGAGGAATGGTACTCCTGATGGCCATCCAAATGAGGGGGTGAATTTGAAGTTTTCGATGACTGTGGGGCGTGTGGCATAGGTGCAGAGAATGCCTGCTTTGTCTTCTTCCTCGAGATGGCTGTGTGAGTCAGTATCGGACTCCCAGTCGTCGCCTTCCTTCAAATCTTCGCCATGGAAGCCCCATGTATTTCCAACAGGGAAGGATACGCCGATGAGGACAATTTTCTTCAGAGGACAATAGTGTAACGCTCGGAGAATCTCGCGTTTCTCGTCTCGTGGTATGCCACCTTCTAGCTTGATCTGCTCGACTTTGGTCAAGTAAGGGGCGAATTCACTGATAAATCGCCTTCGACGTATGCGTTCTTGCTCCTCCTCCAGACCGACACTATCGTCTGTGAAAGTCTCTCCTCTGCAGTAGTAACAATCTAAACGGAGATCAATTAGCATGTTCCCGAAATGTGCAACTAGCTTGCAGGCTCGGATTAAGATCTCCTGTGATGACTTGGCATGGGAGTAGAACCTGTCGAGAGGCCAAGCTAAGCACTGAATCTTTCGATGAGCCTCGAGGAAGTCCAAGAACGGAGTTCCATGAATGCCAGAATCGAGAAGATACATGTCGTAAGGCAATCTAGTTGGGGCGACTACGGCATTGCGGACTTGGAAGGCGCGTAAGTTGGGAAACCTTAGCTTCGACAGGCTATTTAATATTGTAACAGCGAGGGCATCCGCAGATTCGTCTTCAGCCTTGCGCCAGAGAATCCAATCTAGATTTAACTTAGTCAAGCTCGAAGCAGATATATCCAGGACGTGTAGAAGCGGCGTCGTAGAAGGTGCCCTCAGTGAATGTGCAGGCTCATTCTCTTTATGGATGAATTTCTCAACTTCCGGCAAGCCTTGCCAGATCTCATCGTCGAGCTCCTTTGCCTTGGCGTATAGCTGATCTGAAGTGAATTTCTGAAGGGGTGATGAACGATTATCTCCACTAAACTCGACTGTGGACGAATAGAAGCCCCCAGCGCCATTGTGGAGACGGGCAATGCTCCCACCACGACCCAATCTCCATTCCCAGCCTTTCATCACGCGCATAGTCTCCTCATCGAAAGATTCAAACCTCAACCGGCGGATGCGAACACTCTCCAATCCATTCGGAGTGCGGGCAGGCCCTTCAAAAGCGAGAGCTGCACCCAAAGGAGAGCAGCTTTCGAGCCAGAGTTTGCGAAGTGGTATGCGCCGGGGCCGCACAGGATCGAAGAATCCCTCCAAAAGTCCCGTAGTTACATGTAGATGGCCGAAAATGATGCGGAGGGTGTGGACGTTGACCAAGTTCTGTATTGCTAACCGAAGGAGCTTGTGCAGACGTTCGTCTCGGGAGAGATTGGGGCCATTGAAATACATGCGAGGGAGTTCACCATAAATACTGGGGGTGGGAAGGTGGCAGCGATGGGTCAGGACTCGGACCTTGGACGCAATGAACGGGTTCCTTCGTTCCATGTTAGCACGCACAAACTGAATAAGGCAAGGGCGACCTACCGGGCCAGAACGTAAAGTTTCTGTATGATTGGGGTGTCGTCGTGCTCGTCTGGCTCTCCCTGCCCCCGATCTGTCCACACGCCGCGTGTTTTCTCGTTCAGATGGAGCTTCCACGTGTCGATGAGACAGACATTCTGCCAGAGAGGGGCTATTGCGTGCGAGTAGGTGCATTTTGAGACGAGGGCAAGGTTCTTGAGGTCGCCGCTGGAGAGCGAGACTACGACAAGTTGCAGAAGCTCGTCGGGAAGGGATTCAAGCTGAATAATGCGCGTTAGTATGGCTGAAAAAGATAGCCCGAAAGGACATGTTGGCAGCTACCAGGCTGCCGCGAACTGTCGACTTACGGACAGCGGGGCACTGGGGCCATCTGAGGGCTCAATAGTGGAGCTGCGAACAGCTGGCATCATCATCGGAGTGTCATGTGCACACACTACAACAAATGTTGTCTGGCTCAAGCATAAAACAAGTAGGAGAGAGTGGCCTGTGACGGTGACTAGACCCAGCTGTGGTTTCGAACATGATGTGATAATTAGGCCCGTGCATCATAGTGTCTCGGTGAATGGCCGATACCTCCACCTCCGCCTCCACCTCCCACTCTCCCTTCATCTCGACATAGCCTTCTCACGACCTCTGTCCTGTGCCACGGATCATCGCCTCGCCTTTGGCCTCTCTCATCCTCTTGAACTCGGGGTTGTTCTGAATTCGCAAGCATCGATACATTCCCGCGCTTGGCTTGACGTCTTCGAATCCGAATTGCGAATATAGCTTCTGCCCCAATGGTTCTGCGATGAGACTCACGTAGGCGTGCGGTGCATTCTTGTCTACATAGTTGATAACCTCTTTCATGATGCGCTTTCCGAGGCCTTTCCTCTGGTGATCGGGATGGACGGCAATGTCGCAGAGCTGCAGGAACAACGCTCCATCGCCGAGTAATCGTCCCATGGCAATTACATGTTGCCCAGGACTAGGCGTTGTGTCGTCGAGCATGTCTTTGCGCTCGAAGGCTGAGAAACACACGAAGGAGTTGGCAAGAGCTTTGGAGACCGCTTCCATCGGCGGAGGAGTGAGATTGGCGATCTTCCTGAGATCATGATAGTCTTGAGCGCTAGGGGTGTGCGGAAGAATGATATACTCCGGGGCGTCCATGGCTGAGAGATTGTCGTGCGTCCAGAGAAGAGCAATTGTACAATGAGGATCCACTGGAAGGAAGATGTATATATTCGTTTCGATGACTCAATAGCTATCCCTTTCTAAAACACACGCCACTCAGGCATTCGTAAATAAATGAAGCGGATTCAAGACTTCAACATCAGGGAAGTGCAAGCCTTCAACCATCGGAGTATCTTCTGCAGCCCTAGTCCTCATTCGGGCCATTCAAACTCCCTTTGGGTGGCTGACTAATCTCGGACCTGGCTTCGGAGTTCTCTCCTTATAAATTCTGTCTTCTAGAAGAGGCCGCTGAGGTTTCCTCTAGAGTCGCTTGCAGTATTCCTCCGCGGCATTGCGAAGCATTACAAATTTGCGCCCTTGATGTGCATTACTACGGAGATTAAACTAAGGCCTGTACGACCCTGAATTCGCTGGTGGACCGGTCACAGGATTGACCGCATGACAGACTATGGGTCGCTTTGGATGTATGAAAGGTTCTCTGCTCCACGTCACGGACTCAGTCAACTATTTGGATCTGGATTGAGGAAGCCACGATGCAGCCACGCGGCGCACAAGCCAATACAAGCACTTCACTGACAAAAATCTCCACATCACCGCAAGCACACTCCTCTCTTCCGGCAACCCTCACCCACGGCGTAGGAAGCAAGCCACATCGCATACCTGCTTATCAACAACCGTTCGTGCCATAATTTAGAGGGTTCTTCATAATGTCTAACGGTCCAAGCACGAGGGCGCCGACCTCGAAGGACATTACGCACAAGACCAGCTGGATTGTGTTCATAACGCAAGTCATTCTTGTGATTTTTACTGCTCCCTACCGGCGTACGTTCAAATTGTACACTTGGAAGCCTCTCAGGGATATCCGAGCTGCGGATGGCGATCGAAAACTACTGGTCGCGAGGGTGAAGGATTGGAAGGCGGATAAATATCAAGAGCTGCAGTCCGTTCAAGTTGCTGTTAGTATTAGTAGCCCTACTAATTTGACCGTGCTCTCCCCTATGCACTTACTCTGACTTTCTCTCTAACCTCCTTTCCCCAGTCGCTTTAAGTCATGAAACTGAACAGCTCTAGGCATCATTCTGTGCTGGTGCAACCCTCGCCACGCTTTCTTGGTCGAAATTCGAGAACCCCATCTGGGCTGCTGACGCGCTCTGGTTTTCTTCGCTCATTTGCTCCATCTGGGCAGTAATTACCTCCATCCAGACCAAATCCATTCTTGACGACCTACCAAACAAAGACCAGCTCAACTCTTCTCTCCCGGAAATAGAGCTTAAGCGTATGCGTCGCGTTATTCTGCGGTATAAGAAACGACCGGGAATTAATCACTGGATCATGCTCTTCATATGGCAATTTCCAAGCATGACGATGAGCTACGCCTGGTGCACTTTCTTAAGCGGTCTGACCGTGTACGTTTGTACGCCATTCATTCGAAATGACCCATGGAGTAATCGTTCTAAGGTTAGGTCAAAAAGGAATTGCTAGAAGAACGAGATAGCTGATCCGAACTAGATTGCCATTACGTATCTCAGTGTTGGGACTGTTGGCCTGTTCACCTATGTCTTTTCTAGTGGCTTCGTGTACGCAGGAGAGAAAGACTACGAGCGCTCAGTAGCTAGCACACGGACCAACACCAACGACATGGAGTCTGCTTTGATAGACTCTACGATTAGTGCGAGATCAGCTGAAGGAACGAGACAGCAACAACCGAGTGAACCAAACAATCCAGTTGAGCAGCTGCGTAACCGGGGATTGCTCAGTAGTGGAACTGAAGAGCGTCAAGATTCAGAAAGGACCAAGAAGCAGCTGTTATATTGAGCAACATTCCCCTTTTGGCTCTGCATTGTAGAGTCTGACTTCCGCTTTGGGGGTTGATCGCTGCGGATCTGCACTCTCTCTGTGTCCAAGCCGGACAAGTGCAGCATGATGGATGCTCGACCGATTGTGTACCAAATTTGTTGATGGGAAGGTAAAGTGACATGAGAGCGAGTAGTTCGCTGGCTTTTCTCCTAGGGGGTGGCAGGCGATGATTCATTTCCAGTTTGCTATCACATGCTCTGAATCTCGAGTCTCTGGATCAGAAATCGACATTTGTGGTCGGCATGTACCAATCAAGGCGGCTCCGTTCACGCATACGGTGCTGCAAATTAATTTAGTTCTAGCCAGTCAGCATCATTTAGCCCCTGCCAACCCAACCATTTCCCGCTACTTGCTCCTGCCTAGCTCGGCAGCATTCAGAACCCCACCACACTCGCACTTAGCCACGACGCCACCGACCTTTCAACTTCCTCATTCGATCACTGCATATTTCTCCCCTGGACCCTGCCGGAATGCAGCAGGTGAATGAACTTGGTCCATCATGCGTGCCGCGAATGAGCGCAGGCGGTTACCGTGCATGTCCGTCTGGGACGTGTGAGGGGAACGGAGAGGTGTATCCAGGATGGCTCTGAACCCTAGTCAAGCAGCTGATGCTGTGAATATGATCAGCGGGTGCAGTTGTTAGGAGTTTACTGGGTATCCTGGTTTATTGCGTTGAAATGTATAAGGTTGAGGTTCTGCCATCGTCACATCGCTGTAGTGGGTGTCTTCACAAGTTTCGTTATTTATTGTAGCAGAACTCTGCATCGTCATAATTTTTATCATTGCCTTGCACTCCCCTCGAAAGCTTCACGCCATGCACTTCTTCCCACTCCTCTCTGTTGCGGCAACACTTGTCGTTCCCGCGACAGCTCTCCCAAAGCTTCAACAGCGACAAGCACCCACTGGTGTTCCGGATTACGTTCTCAATTATGGTAAATATTATTTTCCCGTGGTTCTCCTAATTTCTTAATATTCAGGAAGAGATCGAGAACTTAGTAGTAAGGCCTTCCCGCCGGATCTTACGCCTAACTAAACTTCCAATATCTACCACTCATCTCTCTGTTTCGTCTGTCTCGCCTGAAAAGGATTACGAAAATCCGTGTCTCAAATCCTAACATTGCCCTAGCACCACTCGTTTACCTCTATTCCGGAGAGCAATACTTCCCATCGGACATTCGGGCGCAGGTCTCAAACACCATTCCCGAAATAAACTTTTCCCCGGTTGCTAATGTCGCGAACCCACTTGATCTCAACAGTCTCAACACGCTGAGTCAAGATGTCTATCTCACATCGAAAGACGACATCACCAAGAGCCCTGCCTGGCTGAGAGGAGTAAAACTAGACGGCTCTGGAAAGACGAACAATGCCGTGACTGCAGCAGTCATTGTTAATGACAAGGGTAGCGGTAATGTGGATGCTTTCTACATGTACTTTTATGCCTACAATTGGGGCGGAATCGTTGCTGGTATTAAGAGCCTACAGTTTGGTAAGTCCGTACCGCAAACATTCACAGACATTGAGACTCAAAGACACCAACGCCAATCAGGGAACCACGTGGGCGATTGGTATGTTCCACACTCAACACCGGCTATCTCTAAGACCTCTGCGCAACTGATAATTAATGCAGGGAACACAACATGATACGCTTTTCAAGCGGGGTACCACAATATATCTGGTACTCCCAACACAGCAATGGCGAAGCCTTCAAATACTCGGTCGTCGAAAAATCAGGTCTGCGCCCCATCGTCTACTCTGCCAACGGCTCTCACGCCAACTACGCCATCTCCGGGACACATGACCACACTATCCCCAACCTCAATCTCCCAGCTGGCTTCCTCGAAGATCATACCGACAAAGGGACGCTCTGGGACCCGCTACTTTCTTCTTACCACTACTCTTATACGCCTAGCGGCAATTCATTTACACCGTATGATACAACCGGCACCACGCCGGTGAATTGGTTGTATTTTAATGGCAGGTGGGGAGATCAGGAGTACCCAACCAGTGATAAGAGACAGGTGAAAGTGTTCGGGCAGGCAAAATATGCGAGTGGGCCGACGGGACCGGCAGATAAGCAATTGAATCGGTCGAATGTGTGTCCAGATAATGGCCAGGAGTGTATTTTACGAACGATATTGGTTCCGAAAGATCTTGGAGAGTTGGAGAGATGAGAGGGATATTGGGTAGAGTGGGATAATCCCGTAATGTGGCGGTAATCGTAACTTCTAATTCAAGACTCACTTTGATATGAGTCTTGCTTCAATTAAAGCTTCAAACTCAGGAGTTATTAGACTCACAGATAAACTGTTCTTAAAAACAAATCATCACTAACATTTATTCCCCGAACTCAACGCTACTTCATTCAACTCCTTCAGCCTTCTCAACTCTAACTGTTTGATAGTTTCTCTCTTTGCCTAGTAAATTGTACTATAACGTACTTCATGGGCGAGTCGCTCACACACCCGAGTTGCTCACTTTTGCCAAGACCCCACCCTAACAAACTCTATTATGGCCTATAACAACCTGCTCTGGCACTATATAGTATAGTACAGCCTAGAATATTATTTAGATACTACTTCTGCTTCTTGCTTACATGTTTGCGCGTTATGCCTAGTCTAATTGCACTGTCTGTAGCGCCTTTAGGATAGCTTACTTACTTTAGCTTGCACCTACTTCTTTACCTTCTTTCTATTACTGCGCGCCCTAAACTTCTTTAAAGCTGTTAAGTGTAGGCTTTTTTAAATTATTAAGGTCTTTTTTACTTTAATCTACTTTCTTTTATGCAATTTATGTTATGTAGCAGCTTTATTAGCTACTTAAAGCTTAGTAATTTCTTATTACACTAATACTAGCTTATGTGTAATTATTACTACCCTCTTTAAGACTTTTTTAAATGCCTTAACTATAAAAGTTAGTAAACTATTTATATGCTTCTAAATTTTTATTTTTATAAGCATTAATTATAACCTAAGTTTTAAAGTATTACTTAGAGTTTACAACTGCTAGAGCTTGTTATATATAGGTAGTAGTAGTAATAAAGTGCGTAACTTTACATTAAAGCCTATTAAGTTATAACTTATTATAAGTTAAAAGGAACTAATCTAGCGCTTTAAAACCTTTTTTAGATATTACTAAAAGTAATTATAGCATTATAGGCTACTTTAAAGCATAGTAGGAACTTTATTTTTATAATATAAGTAATCTAGTTATGTATAAGGTTTTTAGCTTAGCGCTTATATGCTTTCTTTAAAAAAGTAAAACAACCTACATTAAGTAGCTATAAAAGGTGTAATAAGTAAAAAAGTATATAAATAAAAATAATTTTATTATTTTTATAGTATTACTAAAAATAAAGTAAGTTATAGCTTTTATAGCTATTAATAACTAGCAGACAGTAGCTACTAACAGTACACTTTTTTATATATATGTTAAAGTGCTTTAACTAGTCTAGACTAAGCTAATTAGTAGTCTAGCTGCGCTTAAAAATTATAATAACTTAATCTTAAAGTAAATTTTTTTTTTTTTACTAGTTTAAAAAGTAGTTACTACCTTAAAAAATAATAAAAAGCAGAATAGCTTACTTTTTAGCATTAATGCCTTAAATAGCTATTGTTTACTTCTAGTTACCTAGCTAGACTGCTTTTAGCTGTTCTTATTTCTCTAAACTTATAATAACTGCTCTAGTAGATATCTAGCCTATTATAAACCCTATTTTATTAAAGTTGTATATGTTATTATTCTAAATACTATACTTAGCTTTAATATTTTTTATAAAGTTAAACTAGCTTTAAATTACTATAAAATTTTTATAAAAAGCTTTTTTATAGTTATACTTACACTTAAACTTTACTTTAAGCTTTAAGTAACACTTAATAAATATATTAAGCTAGTTTATACTAACATAGCTTATATTATGCTTAGTGTGTAAAGAATTAGCTATATTAGCTACAGCTACTAGCTAAGAGGGAAATCCTTACACATTTAGCTTAAGTATGTGCTAAATAATTACTTACTTTTTATTATTATCTAGCTTTTATAAGTTAGCTATATAATTAGCTTAGAAAAGTTGTCTAGTGTGTTAGTTACTTATTATTTTTTAAAAGACTTTATAAATAGCTGCAGCATGTTAGTTAGAAAGTGTTACATTTTATTTAAGAGCCTAAAGTGTAAGCTACATCTAACATTCCTTTAACACATTTAAGTAGTGTTGTTAGAAATGCATTAGTGTAGAAAAAGTAGTGTAGTAGGGTCTTAGTAAAAGTAAGCAACTTAGGTGTGTGAGCAACTCGCCTATGAAGTACGTTAGTGTGTTAAAATAAAAGTGTATAATATACACAAAGATAGGCTAACCTACTCTTATCTAACGCATTTTATTTAGACTTTAAATAGTTAGGGTCTAGGTAAACAAATTAGACAAATCGCTACCCTTTGTAACAATGTGCTTAAATTGTTCCATCTTAGGTTGCCTAACAAACTAATATCTAAAGGGTTCTTGAATCTGCCCCAACCCTGCCCTAGCCCCTGCTGTACCCCTATTCCCCTAAGTATTTAGTCGCACCTCTCTCTTTAGCTAGCTTAATAGTTTTCTAATATCCTTTGTACAAGGCCTATAAGTGTTAATGGAATTCCTAGGTTTCTAAGTCTCCACGCACTCCTATATGCCTCTGAGTGGATTCACACCGCATTCGGACTTGTTGTCTTGACTGCGCTGTTACACCCTCTAAGGCAGAGATTTGTTACTGCTTATATACATGCTACTTCTTTCTTCTGTCCCTTGCTGCATCTAGGTGATTGTTCTTTGTCTATTCTAGTCTGATATAGCTGCAAGCGGCTAAGGTTAAGCCTGATCGTAACATAGTGTTACAAGTAGAGCTTAAGCTTAAGCTAGATGTGTAACGGCACAGGCAAGACAATGGGTCCGAATGCGGTGGGAATCCACTCAGAGGCATATGGGAGTGCGTGGGGACTCGGAACCTGGGAATGCCATTAACACCTATAGGCCTTGTACAAAAGGATATCAGAAAACTACCGACCTAGCTACGGGGGCAAGGTGCGACTAAATACATGAGGGAATAGGGGTAACAGCAGGGGTCGGGGCCAGGTCGGGGTCGGGGCCGATACAGGGGCCTTCCGGAGGTTCCGGGACGCCCGAGATGGAACGATTCATGAGGATCGTTACAAGATGTAGCTATATTAGACTAGAATAGATAAAGAAAGATTAGCTAGATATAGTAATATGTAGAATAGGAAAGTAGTATATATATAAGTAGTAATAAATATTTAATTAGCTTAAAAGATTTTAGAAGACTCTACAAGTTTTAATTACCTTAAAGGTTTTAAAGGTTTTAACTACTTTAAAGGTTTTAATTACTTTAAATAGTTTAACTACTTTAAAGGTTTTAATTACTTTAAATAGTTTAACTATTTTAAAGGTTTTAACTACTTTAAAGGTTTTAATTAGCTTAAAAGTTTTGTCTAATCTAAAAATAGTATCAGCTGTAGAGCGGCTGACTTGCGAGGTAAGGGAACACAGCTACCACCGTCACAATCGCCCTTGAGGCTGATCCATAAAAGTCACAACATTCCTCAACCGCTCAAATTGCACATTGGCCTCGTAGACGATGTTATATTCTCCTTTACACCCCCCAGAGAATGCCATTAGGCTTCTCAAATTGCACAAAATTCGGCCAGCACTACCAGAAAGTCCCAATATATCTCAGCCTGACCAGGATACCAGCATCGAATGCACACTCTTCCACGTTCTTCGATCGGAGAAGCCAAAATACAAAGCCCTGAGTTATGCGTGGGGTAACGACACGGACCCTTTCCCGATCTGCGTCAACAGCGTCTCTCGCCATGTCGGGGTGAACTTGAAGAAGGCTCTTGAGCACATTCGAAGCGAAGATGAAGACCTGGTTCTATGGATTGATGCTCTTTGCATTAATCAGCAAGATGCTTCTGAAAAATCAGAGCAAGTCAAGAGAATGGCAGACATTTATCGAAACGCCGTCGAAACTATTGTTTGGCTTGGACCTGCCAACATATCGACCATGTCTGATGATGGCATGGAATACCTGGACACGCTTGGCAAATTCGTTGAAGAGCACGGCCTTCGTAGCCAAATGCTCGAGATGGTCTCACTTGCGAGTCACGCTTCGGAGCGTTCTAATGCCATTAAAGCACAAGTCACGACGGTCCTCGCACCATTCGTCAACTTGTGTTGTCGCGACGTGTCTGGGTTTCTCAAAACGTGCCACGCCATGAGGGAAATCTCCTTACGGCCTTATTGGGAACGAGTCTGGATCTTGCAAGAATACGCTCTAGCCAGTGCACTCACCATTCGATGCGGCACTCGGACAGTTTCTTTCGAGAGATGCCATGCATCCATTATGGCTTTATCAGTAATAATGTTCGAGGTCGTCAACAAGCTTTTCGCTAGCCTTACGGAACGAATGGGCCGCGGAGAGCTTGTTGATTCGTCTGAACGGCATGCTTTTGTGCAACTCGGAAACTTATTTCCAGATGGCAATGCGGGTTCAGTACAGGGCATCCGGAGTCGCTACCAGAGTAGCCCACAGTTGAAGCTCACCTTGCTCAGACTTCTGGCAAGAGCTTTCGTCGAGCGCACTGCTGGAGCTAAAGAACCTAAGGACCGAGTCTTCGCCTTTCTAGGAATGACAGGCGAGGCTGAAGAGCTGGGTATCGTGCCGGATTACACAGAAACGAGGACATATCAAGACGTTTATTCGGAAACAGCACGCGCCATTGCTTCGATTGGCCAAGTCGATGTACTTGCATTTGCCCAAAATCGCGGCGAATCTCAGAATGACCTCCCATCTTGGGTTCCAGACTGGAGTCGCTCCCACGACGGCTCTCCAGAGCCTATTTTACGCCCCTGCGGCCAACTCCCGTGGGATACGTGTTTCAATGCCTCGTTTGGCGCTGCCCCATTTGCTCCACATCCATTGTTAACAACCCTGCCGAGGTACCAACTCCCCCTCTACGGGTATACGATCGACAGCATCGAGGTTGTTGGCTCAGCATGGCAGCCTGGTTACGATGAAGGTGTGAACGAAGCTACATCAGGCTTGGGTACATACTTGAAGGAGATTGCGGATCTATGTGATAGGTCTGATAGGAAGTTGGCTGAGAGTGGGGATGATTGTTATGGTAGTAATGATGATGACTACGAAATTACCGGAAAGAAGCTGAAAGACAAGACCCACTACCTCGATCACCCGCGTACCACAGCCCGTTACCTCATCCCCACTGCCGATATGCAGCAGTACAGCATGGGCTTCATCCAGCGCGCTGACTCAGCCTTTAGTCGTCGCGGCTACAACCAGGCCCTGGGGTTAGAAAAGCACCCAGGAAGAACTCAGTCCGACGAGTTGGGGAGCTACTATCAAATGGTCGCGTGGCAACGGAACCGGAGAGCGTATTTGGGTGAGAAGGGTACGGTGGGTTTAGCACCCGATTATTCAGAGTACGGAGATAGAGTAGTTGTGTTTTGTGGGGGAAGGTATGCATATGTTTTAAGGAAGAGAAATAAATGCAGAACGGATAGGTGTGACGCTGAAATAGGGTGCGAAGTTCATGGTGGAATGAAGGATAACGAAGGAGTATTTTGGGCCGTCGTAGGTGAGGCATATGCCCACGGGTTCATGTATGGAGAATATTTTAGGAAGGAGAGGATGGTGGAGGAATTCATACTTGTGTAAATGGATAGGCGGAGGTCATCTATTTCTGAAAGGGAACAGTTCAAAGATTCAATTTAGTCCCCTATTCGCTCCCCGCTGTATGCCTAGCTGGAGTTTTATTGTCCATCCAAAAAATTTAATATATATTTAAGCCCGGCGAGTCTTTCACATCGCTCCGCGCTCTAAGCGTGATGATCAAGTTCATTAACACACTCTATAGGACTTCTGAGAATCAGAGCTCGACAAGTACATCACGATGGGAACATTTACAATTATTAGAGGGCTTAACTTATGCTTAGATTATGTGTAGGCAGACAAACGCACGCCGTTCAATACAGAGCCTCAATGTTTGCCTTGTCGTTGCATGGTCTGCAAATGTATAGCAAGTGGCTGCATTGCTTAGTCCGCAACAAGCCAGTCGTTTTGTACATAACCTAGTGTCGCGCCTGTGTTTAGGACGTGCAGCCTGAAACACCTGACGCCTGAGCTCCCACTATATAGGCAGGCTCTCTGAGAGCTTCTCGTAGTCAATAGACTTGCTCCTCATTGCTCCCTGATCAACTTTGCGACACCTAGCAATTCCACTCTTTTCTTGGATGGTACACGCTCTAGCATAGTGCACGAGCTGATGAGCATCGAAATGCTGTCTCCAAACGAAGATGTGGTGATTATCGTAAGTTTCTGGTTAAGTGTATTCCATATTCGGTTAACGTACCTAACGGGTTGGCCGGCCACACGGGTTGGCCGGCCACTTTTGCCAAGTGTCACGGTATCCTCCCCGGATCCCAGACATAACCGTATTAGACGCGTACTAGAGTATTATTAGTGCACGTCTGACATAAACACAACATAACACAGACATAAACTTAAGCATAAACTGCCTTAACACTAACTAAACTTAGAATAGGCTTAATTTATACCTAAAGCGCTTAGACTTTTAAGCTAAGTATTTAATTACTAATTTTCTTCTAAACTTTTCTATTTCTTACATAACATCTTATACCTACTATAATACCTTATATAGTAATTAAACTAGACCTCTATAAAGCTCTATAACCTTACTTGTGCATAATTATAACATTATATTATATTAAAACTTTAGCTAAAAATAGCCTCTAAATTTAATCTAATAAGCTTAGTACTTATACAACTTTAAGCTATTAAAGTAAGCTAAAAAGCCTTTTAAAAAGCGCTTACTTTATAAAAAAGCTATTATATTATAAGCTTTAAAGCTTTTTAAAAAGACTTTAAAAAATAGCTTTATGTTATTAAGTAGTCTATTTCTGCCTTAACTTTTATTATAGTAGTAGGAACTAAAAACTTACTAGCCTTAAAGCTTACTTAGAAGTCTAGAGATAGCTTAACTTTTTTCTACTTAACACTATCTATAACTTATAACTTTTCTAACTTAGTAATAAAATCTAACTAACTCTCTAATTTTTTACTATTTAATAAAAAATAAAAAGACCTACTTTTCTTTCTACATAAGCTTTAATATAAACTTAAAAGAAATATAAACTAATTTCTTTTTAAACGCTTTTAGTTACTATATGCCTACTTTTAACTTAACTATAATATAATAGCCTTAATTAACTTACTAATAGATAAAAATATTATTAACTTAGATTAATTTATAGCGTTTTTATAAGTAACTTATAAAAACTTAAATAAAAAGTTAACAGCCTTAAGTTACCTAAACACTTTATAATAAAATAAAAAAAGCTTTACTTTACACTTTACTAAGTTTTACTAACTTACATTTAATATAGGCCTAAATAAGATAGGTTTAATTATAGCCTTATATAACTCTCTCTTAACTAAACTATAACGCGCTATAGTAGAAGAACCCCTTTTAAACAACTTTAACGCGTATGTAAACCTAATTGCTACCTATAATAATAACATAAGGTTCCTCTCTATATAAGCTTTAATACGCCCCTAAACTAGCGCAGTTACAAATAAAGACTTTAACATAATAAAAATTAATTTAAATTATGCTTTAGTTAGTTCTAGAAAGTGTAAAAATTATAAAAAAAAAAGTTAATGCTTTAAGTGTAGTAAGTATAGTTATATTTTCTAAAACTACTTTATTCTCTTTTTTTAAGTCTACATAAGTAGTGCTGCTAGCACTTATTAAAAATCTTTACTATTTTAATCTTATTTTTATAAGGGCTTTAACTTATATTTAAGCTTTAATTTTTTTTGCTACTCTTAACATAGCTACAGCTATAGCAGTAGGAGCCTGTAAAAAGGCTTGTTCTAGGGCTAAGTTGCCCTCTAGAACTAATTTAACACTAGATCTTTACTAACCTATAGGCTAAGTCCCTTACTAATAACTAAAAGTACTAAGTTAATATTTTTATATATTTATAATAAAGAACTATATTAGCTTTAATATAAGCTCTTATTAACTTAAAAGTAAACAGCATAAGTTATATTAATAAAAAACTAGCATGTAAACTAAATCTCTAATTAACACTACTTACCTAAATAATTTACCTAACTAGATTTAATAAAAAATAACTTAAAAAAGGTTTTATTTTTTATACTATAACTATTATAATTACTTACTAACACTATAAGAAGTAGATTAAGCTTTATGTAATAAACATAAAATGTTATAACCTAATTCTAGAATAACTATAGCTGTATTAGCATAAAGTTACTTTTAATTACTAAGAGTAAGTTCTAAACTTTAACTTTTCTTAATGCTAAAATATATGCTTACGCTTACACCTAAACAACACTTAAATAGCACTTAATATAGAAAGTTTCTAGACTTACTTTCTAATAACTTAAAAAAGAACTACTTAAGTAAGGCTAATAAGCTAGGCCTTTTACTAAAATAAGCTATGTAAAATAATTTAATAACTACTTAAACTTAAAAAAAAAAAAGCTTTTAAAGAACTTTTACCTACTTAATTTAGACATAAACTAGGACTTAAATAGTAAATAGACATCTGCTATATAGAACCTGCCCTATTTGTAACTCTAGCTTAATAACTAGATTATAAAATCTACGCAGTTATAATTTCTAATATAGACTAAGCTTTAGCTCCCTAAAAACACACTAACTTAAAGATAATAGTCTTTTAAAACTACTATAACTTATTATATGTTTTTTTTTAAGATAAGTCTAATAAGCTTTTAATATAACATCTGTATAATTACTAGATAACTTTTAAGCCTAGTAAACAACCTAGTTATAGGCTACTATATAAAATGTTGCTAAATAAATTAAAAGTGCTTTAAAAATACTTTAATAAGAACTTAAAAAAAAGTTTTATTTAAGCTAGCTTCTTACTAGTAGTGTTACCTATACTATTTATAAAAAAACTTAGAAGTAAGCTTTAATTTTATATTAACTACTAAAAACTAAATACTATTACTATTAAAAACTAATACTTAATTCTTTTTTTATAAAAAACTTTAAGCTAACTAAGTAAAGTAAAGTATTTTATAAAGTTAGATATTATTACTGCCTTTAATAAGCTAAGAATAGTAAAAGGTAATAAGTAGCTAACAGCGTTTTAAACTTAATATAGACTATTTAAGTACCTAGTAATGCTCTTTAGCTTAGCTAACACGCTTAGTACTTTTTAACATTTTGTAAATAACTTACTTTAACCCTACTTAGACGTGTTTTACACTACGTATATTAATAATATTCTAATCTACAGTAATAGCCTTTTAGAGTATAAACAGCATGTACGCCTAGTGCTAAAGGCTATAAAAAAAGTAGGTCTATAACTTAACATAGATAAATGCAAGTTTTACTAATTAAAGGTTATGTATTTAGAATATATAATCTTTATAGATAGTATCTAAATAGACCCTATTAAAGTTTAGACTATGCTAGATTAGTAATATTTAAAAGACATAAAAGATATTTAAGCCTTTATAGAATTTACTAACTTTTACTAATAATTTATTAACAACTTTTTATAGCTAGTAAGCCTTATAATTACACTTACTAAGAAAAAGGTTTAATTTAACTTTAACTTAAATTACTAATAGTTTTTTAACTAGCTAAAGAAAGCCTTTACTAAAGCTTTAATACTTTACTACTTTAACTTTAAACTACTAATACTTGTAGAAGCTAATGCCTTAGACTATGTAGTAGCAGAAGTTCTCTTCTAGACTAAGCTAGACAGAACTATTAGGCCTATTATATACTTTTTAAAAAGAATAAGTTTTATAAAAGGTAATTATAAGATCTATAACAAGAAATTACTTACTATAGTACACTACTTTAAATAATAGCAACCTAAACTAAAAAGTGCAGCGCATCTAATATAGGTCCTATCTAACTATAAGAACTTATAGTACTTTATAACTATAAAATAACTTAGCTACTAATAAGCCTGTTAGTTTAAATACTTATTTTATTTTAATTTTAAGATTACTTATTGTCCTAGTTAAGATAAAAGGAAACTAAATGCCCTTATAAAGTAATTCTAAAATATCCTTACTTAAAAAGAAGTGTAAAAGGCTTAACACTAAACTTTACTTTAACTTAAGCTATTTTTAGACCTTAACCTAAATAAAATAGATTAGATAATTAATTAAATTATTACTAATAAGTATTTAAATAATAAATTTATTTAAGAAACTTTAAACCTGCTCTAAAACAGTGCTAGTTAGTTAAAAAAAGTAACACTAGCTAACTATAAAAACTAAAATAGTAAGCTATATTACTATAACTAACTTATAATTTTTAATTTTAATAAACTAAGAATTAAACTACTCTAAATTATATACAACTTGCCTGTTAGAGAACACTTAGGCAGAGGAAAGACTCTTAACCTACTACAGAGAGAGTACTACTAGCCCTGCATGTTCTATACTGTATGCTAATACGTATTATGTTGCTATACTTACTGTAAAGTAAAAGCCTTTTAAAAAAAGTATAATAGCCTACTTAAACTACTTCTAATCCTTAAACAAGCTTAAAAAGATATATTAATTAATTTTATTATAAACTTACTTTTATCTAAAGAGTATATAAATATTATAGTAGTTGTTAATTACTTAACTAAGTATTAACACTTAATACTATGTTCCTCTATAACTACCTTTAATATAGCCTAGTTATTCTA